TCAGGAAAGCGTGTTCCAGGAAATCAAAAGGAAGCTAGCCGAGGAAGTGGTACTAGCTATACCCACGCGAATGGGCAAGTACCGTGTAGAAGCAGACGCAAGCGAGGGAGCGATAGGGGCGGTCCTATCACAAGAACAGGAAGGGAAATGGAGGCCAGTAGTGTTCCTATCCAAAGCCCTAACAGTTACGGAGTGGAATTATGAAATTTACGACAAAGAGCTCCTGGCGATCATGTTGGCCCTCGAGGATTGGAGACACTACTTAATGGGTGCCTATCAGGAATTTGAGATCTGGACGGATCATCAAAACCTGCAGTATTTCCGCAAACCCCAAAAGCTCAACCGAAGGCAAGCCTGATGGGTAACAGAATTAGCGGAATACCACTTTACGCTGCACCACAAACCAGGAACGGCCAACAAGAAAGCCGACCTATTATCCAGGAGAGCAGACCACGATCAAGGAGGGGAAGACAACAAGGAGATGATAATGCTCAAACCGGAAATGTTCAGAGCTTTAATCATGCCAGGAGAAGAGGAAATCCATAAGCGCATTCGAACAGCCCTGAGGGATCTTACCAAGTGGGACAAAGGGATCGAAGCATCCCTTCATCATCCCCGAGGAGTGACCCAAGAAGACGGCCTAATGCACTATGATGGACGGTTATACGTACCTCGAGACGCCAAGCTACGAGGAGAGCTCATCGCCATCCACCACGACCACATTACCGCCGGACATCCCGGGATAGAAAAAACCAAGGAACTCGTACAACGAGAATACTGGTGGCCGAAACTAAAAAGCAATGTAGAACGGTACGTGAAGGGTTGTGAAGCCTGCCAGCACACCAAGACAAGCACCCAACGTCGCTAGAGCGCCGCTACACCCACACGCTGTACCTTCTCGACCATGGGAACATATCACTGGTGGACATGATAGGCGAACTACCCGACTCAAACGGGTACAATGCCATCCTCATGATAGTGGATCGGTTCTCAAAGGAAGTCATTCCGGTACCATGTTCGACCGAGCTAACCTCAGCAGGATGGGCCAAAATCCTGCGAGACCACTGTATGGGCCAAGCATGGAATGCCTCAGAAGGTGATCTCGGATCGGGGACCCCAGTTTGTATCAAAATTCATGAAGGAGCTGTATGACATGCTACACATACAAGGAAACCCCTTCTACGGCCTATCATCCCCAAACCGATGGACAGACGGAACGGGCAAACCAGGAGATCGAAAAGTATCTCCGCATATTTATCAATCATCGACAGAATGACTGGAGCGAATGGCTACCTCTCGCAGCCTTCCAACACAACAACCGCAAACACTCTGCGACCGGTTATTCGCCGTTTGAAATCAACCATGGACAAAAACCACACCTAGCTCCGCTGACAATCAAAGAAGGCACCAACCCAGCCGCTAGAGAATTTGTGGCTGACATCCAAAAGATTCATGAACAAACGGCCAAAGCATTGGAGAAGGCAGCGGAAATCATGAAACGACAATACGACAAGCACCAACTACCGGCGGTGGAATATCAACCAGGGGACAAGGTATGGCTGGACTCCACAAACCTCAGCCTTCCTCGACCAATGAAGAAGCTGGGCGACAAACGAGTCAGGCCGTTCGAAGTGCTATCCAAGCATGGCGCTTCGGCATATAAATTACGCCTTCCTCCAGCTTGGAAAATCCACGATCGTTTCAATGAGAAACTCCTCACCCCATATCATTCGCCGGAGTTCCCAATCCAAGTACAGCCTTTGCCGCCACCACCGGACCTCATAGACGGACAGGAACAATATGAAGTGGAAGAAATTGTGGACAGAAGAGAAAGGGTGAGAGGAAGGGGAAGAAGGCGCGGCACCGGAATCGAATACCTCGTCAAGTGGAAAGGATACCCAAGGGAGGAAAATTCTTGGGTAGATGAACAAGACCTAGACAACGCAAGAGACGCTATCGAGGACTTCGAACAGGTCTCATTTATCACTCGACCTCCAGCGGAGTGGTGGGAAAACGAAGACGAATCCGACTCTTGGTCCGAACATGAATTGGTAACCGAGTCAGAAATGGACCACCCCTTGGTACAGGCAATTCAAGAATACCTGATAAAACCAAATGCGCCCTCTCTTGTAGGAGCCTATCTTCCGAAACCAAGTTATGTCGCAGTCGGGACGACTGCCTTAACAGGGGGGTAATATTACGATTTCATGCTTTATCTTATCTTATCGTCTTCATCGTAATCCTGCTATGCTAGTTCTCCGGACTTGATCGCATTCACCATGTGGGTCTCATGTGTTTAACACACCGTTGCAGACACTTGTAGTATATTTAGCATGACCCAAACTGTATTTAAGTAGCCCGACTGCAGGTCTTAAACCTCAGTCTCGAACTAAAGTTTATTCACCCGATAACTTAGTCTGAACTCACTCTCGCTCAACTAAGCGATAGCTCCCTTAACGCAAACCTGCGGACAACACAAAGCGCCTGACCGAAGTGCGAGTCACGCTTAGTTGTTTGATCTTGTTTGTGAAATCGGTCGCTAACACTGTGGTACAGAAGTAATGCTGTGGTAGAGAAGGTATTGACAGTACCTGCTTTAGAATTGTTATTGAGCTGCAAATGAAAGATGGCAGTGACTAGCGCAACCACATGTCTATGCTCGGCATCCCCCGGTGGACCATGCTGTGTAATACTACCTACCTACATTGTATTATATATTGTATCATTGCCTGAATCTTTCTCTACACTGCTGCAACAACAAAAGTGTCATACACCACCACTAAGCGATCATCGATGTAAGAACAGGCTGCAAGAGAGTACTTTACGACAACGCGGTACACAAGTGGCGCTCTGGTAGTGAAAAGCTTGCGCATTGATATGCTAGCCAGTTCGTGCAGTAGAGACCGCAATTGCTGGGAAATATGTCGTCTAGGGACATATAGATGTTGGCTTTTAGCCTCATCATTCTGCACTTCAAAACATGGATTTATCCTGTTGACTAATCGAACAAGCAAAGTAGCTAGGATAATCTCGACTTTAGTTTCACCACATTCCTCCAATCTGAGAGGATTTAGTGAGCTATCAAGAGAACAGTGCAGAAGCCTCACCTTGATCACAGGGTGATGGATGTATCTCAAAGTCTACAGGGGTGGGCATCAAAGCACCTGCACTCAATAGTTCAAGAGTGGTTTTGGTATTTTTACTGGGGACGTACGCACCATCAAGCTTATCCTGAAAGAAGTTCCCCTCACTGGTATCTCTGGCTTCTTGTTCAAGCATACTGGAAAAATTGACATTCAGTGTCAAAACGGACTGGTTAGCACCCAACGAGATTGAAAATATATCCAGTCAAGTGAGATCGTTCCAAGTCTTGTATTTGAAGCCTAAATCAAACGCTCTGTTACATATTCCTGAAGCTGGAGTAAAGATTTTGTAGGAGAGAAAAGGGCATAGGACATACCGCCTAACTATATCCTTCCGCAGCTGCCTCCTCCAATAATATTGGGTGTATATGTGATAATTTGAGTGTATGACACTCGACCGGTTCCTATGTCGACATAAGTAGCCTACGAGATATGAGGCGGCCTATATCTCGTTTAGAGGTATCCATATCCTCGAGCAGACATGAGCAACGCATCTGAATTTGGTTCAAACGATCGATGGTGTGGCAATCAGGAACCAGGAGAGCATACAACATCGCATGAATTCAAGCGATAGGGGACAGTGGCAGTTTTGATTAGATCGGATCAATAACGGCCAATGTTCGATAAGGTGGCCTATAGATCAACATAAGACCTTTTGAGCGCTTCCCTAATTGTAAGATAGAAGTACTGAGATATCCCAAAGAAACTGCAAATGCTCGGTGCGCAGACCACCATGAAGCGTGCGCTGATAGTCGCGTCACATCAAGACAGGCCTAGGACGTCGTATACAGCCCAATAATAATTCACTGCCTCGACTTGGCATCTTCTGCATATCTATGTCCTCTCACAGAGGTACTGGGGTGCAAGCCAATGCGCAACAAGGGATTTTCCAGAGCTTTCAAGAGCCCTGGACACTGACATAAATGACTCCCCAAACCAATGACATATAAACATAGAGATAGACAGCAATTCGGCAGTGTAGTGCTGGGGCTTCTCTGGTTTGACGTTCAGTGATGGGGAGGAAAGACTAGTAATGGACCTAATTTCCACTCACCCCGCTCAGCGGGGCGAGGTGAGATTTGGTTGTCTGTCCGTCATGATCGATATAAACTTAGTTTGGTGTAGGTGCTCTCCCAATGACGCTCCACTGGCTCTGACAAAAACAGCACTGGAGGACTGCAGAAGTATGGCTAACTCACTTCACTGTGGGGTCATATGCACCAGGCCAGGTGAAAAGGGCAACAAGAGAGAATAATGTAATACAGGGGTAGGGAGCGAAGGCAAGAGAACTAGTCAGGGTTCCCAAAAAGGCAGTTGAACGTCTCTACTGAATCGGACCGGTCTACCGCACCTATCCTTTTGCCTGCCATTACCCTCATGATGTTCACAGAGCACCCTTGGCGCATACATCCAGGTCAGCGAAAGAAGACTTGTATTGGTTTGGAGACTTGATGCAGCTCAACAGTAACTGCAACCATGCCTTGGCGACATTAATTTGTTGTGGACCAGACTTATCAGCAACAACTGGCTCTCGTGACGTCGCATCTCTGATCTACTTGCAAGAAGAGAAGATTTACATCACGTATTGGTCTTTACGTGTCGCAGAACATGTTGGTTGATGATTGGGGGCATGTGAAGGCAGCAGGTCTATGTGGAGAGTGAATACTATGCCACCTCAGCAAGGTCTCTCGCTTGTGAGTGACTGTCTTCTCAAATGCGCTGTTTTTAGCACCTGGTTAATTCTGACTAGCACAAAGCACCAGTGCCAGCTGAACACTCTAATCGGAGCCTAAACTCTGAGCTAGTCATCAGCATGGCTTCCTAACGTGTTGCATAGATTCCCTCACCACAATCTCAATGTCCCCAAACTACGCTTCCAGGATCTGTGGCGAAACTACCGGGAAGGAAAAGGCAGCACTCCCGCCGGAGGAGGAGGAGGATGGCAAGGCCGTTGAAGGCCTACCTGAGGACTACGAAAGTTGGAGAGGACTAGACCACAACGTGTACGCAATGGTCTGGAGCAAATTCAATGAGTTTTTCTCTGAGCATGGATATTGACTATGGGATGAAAGTATCGGGAGGAACCTTTACACGGATCTGGAAGATGAGCCCATAACATGCAATGGATTCAAATTCCTGAACCCGCCATCTATCAAAAATACTCTTCTACACCAATTCAGAGCTTTCATATGTCCCAACCTAATTCCGGCGTATGTACATGCTGATTTCCTTGTAGAATGGTCTCATGAATGCATGTTATTGTTCTCGAGGTGGCGATAAACTCGTTCGAATTATGGTTCACAAAAACGTGGGCCAAAATGACCTGGATATCATGAGATCACTATCAAGGTCTCGGCATATCTTTGCTGAGAACAATCATATTTTACCTCTTCTTGACGAGCGTCATTTTGGCAACATTGTATTCGGAGTCTTCCCCTTGCTGAAGGGACCTAATCTGTCTGGGGCAATGCATCGTGGTTCCCTGAATTCAGCTAACAATATAATGCATTTGCTCCTCCAAGCTTTTGAGGTAAAGCATTATCATCTTCTTTCGCAGCTTTCTTTGACCAATCATGGACAGGGCATTGCGTATCTGCACAAAACGGCATTGCCCATCGAGTACGTTGTAGCTGTTCAGTATGCTTTTCCAACTGGCTAATCACCAACAGGACCTCTTTCTAACGAATTTCATTATGGAATGGTACCCCCAACATCACAATTACAAGGTATTCACCTGACCGCAGGGTGTATATCATCGATTTCGAGACAGTCATACAGTTCTCGAACAACAAAACTCGAACCGGCTCACCAGTACCTTCCCTGTACCAGACTGAAACTGGTACGAGCACCCTTTGGCTCCAGAACTCGAAATACCTGATGCGGTGTACTGTCTGTTTCAATTGGACGTGTGACAGATTATTCTGCGGTTCAGGGTGAGGGCTTTTGAGGAGCTTCACGTTACTATCACCATGCTGAGTAAGTCTCTCACAACCTCAAAGAAGGGGCTTCTTCAGGTGCAGCCCAAAACGCCAAACACACACACAATATGACATTTCGATAATCAACTCGTATATAATCATAGAAATCGGCCTAACGCTACCCAGTTCCACATGCTTTGGCTCTGAACGTCGCATCATTGACAAGGCCTACTGGAATCAGAAACCTATTTTTTGAGCGTTTTATATTTTTCAACATGGAGAAAGAAAAGATCGGTTCAAGTTGTTGGTGGCGCAATTACTGATGATCCTCTGGGGGAGTGTCATTGTTCTCAGCGGGGAAGGCATACTGGAGCATGGTCCTCTTCCCATTATCGGTCTTGGTGACAGTGGTGGGCTGCACAAGCTTGATAACAGAGCTTGAAGCTCTCTGAGAGCCGTCATTGCGGATGATCTCATGAGAGAAGCTTTTGCTCTGGCTCAGCCCGTCAAATACCACGGTGCCTCCAGGGGAGTTGAGGTAATAGTTTGTGGACAATCCCTACGAATGACAGCTGGAGTGTAACGAACGTTTAGAAATGGGAAAGACTTACCCAATAGTAGTGGCCGTTGAATAAGATGCATTAGCTTGAGAAGGACTGTTAACTGTAGGCATAGATTCAGGGCAAGTCATAGCAAGAAAAACTCCTAGTCGGACCGGTCAGATGGCTGGACTCGCTCCAGCCTCATTCTGGCCAAAAGGAGGCGCTTATTGGCAGTGACATCTTTCCCTCTCACCATCATCGGGCCATGTCCCAAGTGAAGCTGTGAGTCTGCTCCATCACGATGGCGCCATGAACCTTGCTCATTCCTACGTGTAGCATCCTTCGACAGCCTCCATACATCGAATTTGTCCATGGTCAGCCGCCATTCTCAGTGTTTGCCAGCATCGCATCTCATTGTTTTCCTAGGATACCCCAGCATTCCTTCGGGAGGTATAGACAGACCACTTGCTGCAGTAAAAGGCATGGGTATCCTGCGAACTTTGCTACCGGAACTACCGCATTGACAATGGGATATAGGCTATCAAGGTCAGAGTCGGACCTCAGGGAGTCAAAGCAAAGTGGCTCCGCATGGAGCTGCGCAAAGTCGAGCGGGATACCGATGACAGGAGAAAATACGTTTTTTGATTATGTTGGGCCCAGTCTGGTCAATGTCTGGACAACACCAGAGGAGTGGGAGGTATTGAAGTCGGTGCGTTGAACAAATCCAATCTTGTTGTTACATTTCTTGCTTATTGGCACAATCTACTTGCAGTCAGACTTCCCATTCAATATTCGCATACCCGAGGCCATTCCGCCGACACTCACCTTAGAGGGGCATGGTGAGCACCAGTTATACTGCGCTTCTAAGTGGGCATTACTGACCTCGTTGCACAAGTGGGTATCAAGTACGAACTCATTGCCAGCTTGTGTACGAAAGGTGAACGGTATGTGTGCTGTGTCATGGCTGTCCGCATGTCTTTCTCAGCTTCCTATAGTGGCTTCTTACACAAAATAAAGTCAAACGTTGTGTTGACCCAAAACGAAATCGTCATCGACAAGCATGATCTGCACTCTATGTGGCCAGTGTACTGCCAGACTGATGTGCAGCGAGTTGAGCTCGATGGTTGTCTCTTTGACCGTCGAGCGTCATCAAACCTGCTATGGCCCCGGTGACCATGTTGCTGTATTCGCCACAGTCAGATCCGATAACCTTCAGACTGTGATACTTCGTGGCTTCGAGCTATCTATTCATGAATCGAGAACATTTCAGTGCTGGAGCATTCACCAGGGGCCAACAAACTATGCCAGTAACACGAGTTGGCAATATCCTTGAAAACAAGTTTGCTGTCAATATGACTCTTATGGGGGGAATGCAGCACAAAGCAGAACTATCATCTACGATTTCTCCGAGTCATACAACGATGACCCTTAATTCTGCCAGGCATATCAATATCAATTATGTTTTGCATGTCAAAGCCATCATGGGCACAGGACATCTTCTGGTGATGGATCTTCCCGTCATCATGTCTAACTGGCCGAGGTTCGTCCATTGCAACTTTTCATTTCATTAGCTGATATACGGAGTGAAGAAATGTTTCTCAGGAAGCTATACGGTATGCAGAATGCCATCAATGTCTATATAATATGCCTAATTAGCTTATAGACATATTGGACCCGCACCTGGTCTGTCCCTCTTGGCTCCACACTCTGTTTTCACTTCTGTAGAACCATCACCTGTGACGCGCCATCAACCCACTCAATCACAGAGCTATGATGGTCGACCTTCTCAGCCAGACACAGTGTCCGTCAAATCACCCGTGGCAAGTACTTTTGCTTCATCAGCCCAGCCTCGAATGAATGGATACACAAATATGAAAACGGACGATTTTGGCTATGGTGTTGGCTACGGGCATAAAACCACACCCTCAAATTCCAATAGCATTGAGGGTGAGCAAAAGGAAAGGGAAACAGGAGCATGACGGCCTGGGTCTTAAATTTACTGATACGTTGCCTAGCCAGAATCTGGAAGAGATGAATCTGTCCCCAACACATGGAATCCAATTCGAGAATGACAAACGAAACCTTGAACTACTCCTAAGCATGTGGAACGACACCAACCAGAATAACACGACAGAATCGTTGTTGCTCCTTGAGGAATTGTCACCTCCCGGCGTGCTGCATGGACTTTCAGATGAATATCAAGACAACAAGGCGAGTACATATGTATTCCACTACTTTTTTAACACCTGAAGGAAAGACAGGCTATCGTGGATGCACTTTCGGAGTCGCTTAGTTTTGTACCTGTCCATGGTCTAGACATCAGCATAGGCAACGTAGTGAAGCGAGTTAACGAGGCACTTTCGAAATTGAATATAAACAATCAGCTACTAGATTTATCACCCGAGGAAGCACAATGCACTCTAGACTTCCTTCAGGACATACACCATAGCTTATTTCTGTCAAGTCTCTCGTTTTTAATCGCTGTTCATCAGCTTCTAGACATACCTGGTCTCCCAATGATATCCAAAAGCACACTTTTCCAGTCATGCCTCAAACTATCATGCATTCACGATTGCATTCCTCAGTGTCTCATGCTTCGAGACTTCAAAAAGACGGAAGCCTATCCCTTTGCTCAAGGATCCTTTGGTGAAGTATGGAAGGGAGAAGTCGATGGAACGCAGGTCGCTATCAAACGAGCGAGGATATTCACAAGTGACAGTAACATTGAGAAAGTCCTACGGGTATGTTATTGCTTCTTTTAACTTAAACTAACTTAACAGCACTTGTTTTCCAGAAAATACGACGAGAAGCCATCATCTGGACTCAACTTTGTGATCATCCCAATGTCCTACCCTTCTATGGCATCTATCATGATTTTGCCCCTTCTTCCTACTGCCTCGTATCGCCATTCATGCCTAGTGGATCCCTCCATCAATATATGAATAACACCAGCCATCCCGATCAGCACAAACTCGTAAGAATTGACTTATCCAATGACTCCTTGAATAAGTCTGATAAATACGTAGGCCCTAGATGTTACCCATGGCATGAACTACCTCCACAAACTTCTCATCATTCACGGTGATCTCAAAGGGGTGCGTCACAAAACCTTTTTTTAATTATCAGCATTTCGCTTAACGAAAACAAGGATAACATACTGATCACCAACGATCATAGAGCAGTCATCGCGGATTTCGGTTTATCCTTTGTAATGGGTGTTACAACCTTCACGACTTCATCTTCACCACATAAGGGTGGCACCTTAAGGTGGCAAGCTCCAGAAGTCCTCAACGCTAGTCCCAACAGCCTCCTAGCAGACGTATATTCACTCACATGTGTGTACTTTGAGGTGCGTGTTCCTCCACGACTTGCTCCCGATGATCTCTGAATCCTGCACAAGATATTCAACAGGACGATACCCTGGGAGAACATCAAGGATGTTGCCATCATCGTGAATGTCAGTGTCAAGAAGGAGCACCCTGGGCATCCGAGATACCTTGTGTCAACTGCTTGGCATGCAGAGTTGTGGTGGGATCTCATGACAAGATGCTGGGCCTATGATCCTTCGCATCGACCCACTCTGCCTGAAATCATGGCTGATCTCTGTGTGATGCAGGATATGCCAATGATGATGGAGACACAGTCACGGTGGGATAAGTCTACCACAATACGGCTACGCAACCCATTAATCCGAGGGGAATTGGTTGTTCCTTCGGGCCTTCCTCGGTTTTTGAACTTGGAGGGATTGTCGGATGGTTAAGATGGATATGGACACTCGCACACAATACCCGCCAGGGAATTTCCTCTCAACTGGACCTTGGAGCTTTGCAACGATGAAACAGGAAGAACGAGAGGGTGGTAGATGCTCTGACATCGGACTGATGGGAGACAGAGAGCGGATGGACCATATTTAGTTGAGGATGATACTGTCAAATGGTTAGGCCTTGCCGGAATGCTAATATCTGCTCTGTGGTATATGGTAAATTGCAATGTGTTTATTCATCATTGGAGTGGCAAAGGTTGGCCGGATCGATCCGCAGGGAGCCAACAACACAGCTACTCTGTCCTCTTCCGTCTTTCATCTTTTATACTTCTTCCGGCGGTAAGAACGCATAACCATAGCCCTAGTGTATGTCCTCAAGCCTGGATTCCTTCATCTTCTCACTACTTGAATATTAGCTCACCTGGACCCCTCCATTCATAACATATCCGGTCACCATTTGGTCCTCATACTGGGACTTGAACACAGGTAAAACTTTGTACTATTCCTTAAGTTTTATTCTAACTATACCAAGTTTGAGACCCGGATGGAACCCTATATTCTACTTTGCAACAATTGTGGCAGATGCTTTGGTAGTCAAGCACCCTGCACCTTGCCTCTCGATACTGCCGCATATTTACGCTACGAGAAATAAATCGACGAAAAGGAAACGCAATTTTATTCAAAAGTTATCATCGATCTACCAAAAAAGATATCAGAATATGGGGCAGAGATATCTCGATTGAATACCACTCTAGAGCAACTCAAAACCAGTCGCTACTCCCTTGTGAGGTGTATGGACAAATTCAAATCCCTTTTGTCCCCGGTCCGCAGGCTTCCTCATGATGTACTCCAGGATATATTTGAACTCGTCTGTACTTCTGTATCCTACGACACCTTTCTTTCTCGTGATGACCTACCACTGGTATCCACCACGCCTTTCTATCTCTCCTCTGTCTGCGCCTACTGGCATAATGTCTGCCTATCATCACCCCTGATCTAGACATCCATATCGGCCAGCATTGACTGTAGAGGCGCCTCCCTGAAATTTCCCTATGTTGCCAAATTATTCAAACAATGCTCTTGCACGCATGCCTTCTGAATTTCCAGATGTCCGTGGAGATCGGGGAGATCGCAAAAGGACTCAATCACTATGAGATCAGACGGAGATTGCAATATGCTCTGAAATTGCTCCTGTATTCCCCCGATGCTCTGAATCTGCAACAGGTGAAGCATATCGGTATCGATTCCCGGACCGTCCGCTTGTTGGATATCTTACGAAATGATATCCATCTTGAATTCCCAAAACTAGAGCACTTTGAGTTCTCAGGAGATATAGAATTCACAGCCGGCCATTTAGTCAAGCTGTTCGAATACGCTCCGAAATTGCACAGCGTCGCACTTAACACCATCCACGGCACTTTTTTCTCTTTACCGTCAGGACAAATTACCACCATCCATTTTGCGAATACATTTTCGTTAGTTTATCCATCTCGGTTCTACAACTTTCCCAATGCGACGACTGCTACCTTCGAAGGGTGGCCCGATGTGTTCTTTGGACTTTCCCCAATTCCCTTCCGGAGGCTTGTTCTCAGAGATAACCTCCCGAAATTTCATCGGATGGGGTCGATGTCCCAGCTGACATCTTTGGAGCTTGTTGATATACAATGTGTGTCCAACGAGTCCACGAGTAGACAGGATACAGTCTACCAACTATCAAGATATCTCTTGAAATCTCCCCTCCTCATGGAGCTCATATTGACCACAGTCACTATCGGTCCTCCGAGGCGCTTTGTCAACTGAGACGGTTATCTATCGTGGAGCAGATTGGTGCAGACATTAAACTCATTTCTCCCCACTTCATCAAAAAACTTGATGGTCCGGGGGTGCTACTGGAGCTAGAGCATCTGCAGCTTGTCTGGTCCGGTGAGATTGATGAGGGTGCGGTCTTGGATATGTTGGAAAAAAGATCATTGAAGTCTGTTGTTATAGGGGTTCGGAATGGAGGCGAGCTTAGACCAGATACCTTAGCTCGCGTTGACGCCCTTCGAAACTGTAGTACAGAAATAAGGCTGTGGTAGAGAAGGTATTGGCGGTACCTGCTTTAGAATTGTTATTGAGCTGCAAATGAAAGACGGCAGCGACTAGCGCAACCAAGTTGTATTGTATATCGCATCGTCGACCTGAATCTTTCTCTACACTGCTGCAAAAAAAAATTGTTATGTACCACCAACAAGCGATCATCGAAAACGCTCTGTTACATATTCCTGAAGCTGAAGTAAGGATTTTGTGGGAGAGAAAAGGGAGTAGGACATATCACCTAACAATATCCTGCCGCGGGTGCCTCCTCCAATAATATTGGGTGTGTATGCCACAATTTGGGCTTATTACACTCGACCAGTTCCTATGGTTAGGATTCGACCAATAATTAGTAAAGGCCTATGTTTGGTGTGTTGGTGTTGGTGTTGGTGTTGGTACCGGCACAAGGTCCCAATCAGGAACGGCCGGGTCCACAGCCCTGACATGGCAAGCCATGCGCCGTGGCCATGAAGGCTCGTACCGTTTTGATCGCACGGTTGCGTACGTCTCGCGGAGTAGAGACTCTTCATGGGGTACAATAAAGAACAGGAGTGAAGCGTAATGGTTCCTAAATCATGGATAATTCCTTCAAACAAGACTTCTCGAGTTATCCACGTCTTGAACGCCCCGAAAGTTATGGGAGACATCGAGAGATATGGGCCCCATTAGTACCAACGTTGTAAGCACTGGCAGATTTGGCGGCAATGCATGAAGAAAACAAAAATGCAAGGCAGACTTTATGCAATATCCAAAAGAGTAAGTGAGACAGATATGAGACATACGCACGGACCACAAAGAAACGGACAGAGTGCATCATGACGATACCACAGACTTGGAGTGACAAGATATGGGCAAGGGAAGGGGAAGGGAAGATAACATTCGGGAAGGAAACGCAGGCATCAGGCGAACATGACCGACGAAGCACACCATTTCACCGAAAAGCGCGCCTGTACAGCAGAGCTCAAGCCTTAGCCTATGGAAACCAACGAACGCAGGTGTCGAACAACCACACACAACCAAGCGTACCATTTGCATAACAAACAGCGTGCCTGTAGTGGTGCTCGAGCCTATGACAGCGACACAATGCAGGTGTTGGGCAATGGTGAGGAAACAAGCACACCATTATGACTAGAAAAGGTGTGCTTGTACCAGCGCCCGAGCCTATGAACACCACGAAACGCAGGTACCAGGAAATCGCAAATGATCAAGCCTACCGTTTGGATGACAAACAGTGTGCCTGTAGCGATGCCCGACCTATGACAGCGACAAAACGCAAGCATCTGGCAACCGCGAGGAGCCAAGGACGCCATTTCGACAGGAAACAGCGAGCCTATAGCAGCGCCAGAGCCTATGAAACCAGAAACATGGTGGTATTTGGTATCATGGAGGTGTTTGGTAGTGAGGCCATGGTGTCCTAAAAATAGAAACGAAAACTTTTGAGCGCGTCCTGAATTGTAAGATGAGCATTAACGCACCAAGATATCCCAAAGAAACCACATAAATTCAGCGCAAAGACCACCACAAAGCGTGCGCTGATAATCGCGTCGCGTCAAGACGGGCCTGGAACGTCGTATACAGCCCACAATTACAGCCTAGTAGCAATTCAGTGGTGGGAAGGAAGAAAGACTACAGTAATTGACCGAATTTCCATTCACCCTGGTGAGCAGGGTGAGATGAGATTGTCGGCGATCGATATGAATTTGCTCGTGTAGATGCTTGCATAAGTGAAGATATCTTGGTCGGTCCCATCATCGGAGAGAGCCTACAGCGGCTTGCACCTCTCCCGACGACATTCCGCTGGCTCTGACAATGACAGCACAGGAGAGTGCAGAGATGCGGCTATCTCACCTCATTTTGGGGTTCGCATGTACCAGGCTGGTGAAAGGGATAAGCAAAGGCAAGAGAACCGGTCAGGGTTCCCAAAAAGGCAGTTGAACGTCTTCACCGACTCGGACCGGTCTACCGCACCTATCCTTATGCCCGCCATTACCTTCACGACGTTTATGAAGCACCCTTGGCGCATACATCCAGGTCAGCGAAATAAAAGACTTTTATCGGTTTTGGGACTTACATGCAGCTGATCAACAGCAATTGCAACCACGACATATCCGACTTGGTGACTTATCCTCAGCAGCAGCAGCTGGCTCTCGTGACGTCGCATCTCTGAACTACCTGCAGAAGGGGAGATTCATGTCGCATATCGATATTTACGCATCACAGAACACGTTGGTTGATGAGTGGGGGCATGGGAAGGCAGCAGGTTTATGTGAAGAACGAATACTACGCCATCTCAGCAAGGTCTCACGCTTGTGAGTGACTGTCTCCTCATCCGCGCTGTTTTTATCATCTTGACTAGTACAAAGCACCAGTGCCGGCCGAACACTCTAATCGGAGCCTAAACTCTGAGCTAGTCATCAGTGTGGCTTAACGCGTTGCATAGATTCCCTCACCGCAACCTCGATGTCCCCGGATGACGCTTCCAGGATCTGCAGCGAAACCGCCAGGAAGGAAAACACGGCACCCCTGTCTTCGGAGGAAGAGGATGGCAAGACCGTTGAAGGCCTACCTGAGGACTACGAAAGTTGGAGAGGACTAGACCACGACGCGTACGCAACAGTTTGGAGCAAATTCAAGGAGTTTTTCTCTGAGCGTGGATATCGACTATGGGATGAAAGTATTGGGAGGAACCTTTACACCGATCTGGAGGATGAGCCCATAACATGCAATGGATTCAAATTCCTGAACCCGCCATCTATCAAAAATACTCTTCTATACCAATTCAGAGCTTTCGTATGTCCCAACCTAATTCCGGCTTATGTACATGCTGATTTCCTTGTAGAATGGTCTCATGAATGCCTGTTACTGTTCTCGAGGCGGCGACAAGCTCGTTCGAGTTATGGTTCACAAAAACGTGGGCCAAAATGACCTGGATATTGTGAGGTCGCTATCGAGGTCTCGGCATATCTTGGCCGAGAACAATCACATTCTACCTCTTCTTGACGAGCTTCATTTTGGCGACATCGTATTCGGAGTGTTCCCCTTGCTGAAGGGACCTAATCTGTCTGGGGCAATGCATCTTGGCTCCTTGAACTCGGTTGATGATATAATGCATTTACTCCTCCAAGCTTTTGAGGTAAAGCACTATCGTTTTCTTTCGCAGCTTTCTTTGACCAATCACGTGTAGGGCGTCGCGTATCTGCACAAAAATGGCATTGCGCATCGAGTACGTTATAACGGTTCAGTATGCTTTCCAACGGCTAACCACCAACAGGACCTCTTTCTAACGAATTTCATTATGGAATGGTACCCCCAAAGCGGCAATTACAAGATGTTCACCCGACCGCGGGTGTATATCATCGATTTCGAGACCGCCATACAGTTCTCGAGTGACGAGGAGTCGGAGCGCGTGACCAGCACCTTCCCCGTACCAGACCGGTCCTGGTACGAGCGCCCTTTGGCTCCCGAACTCGAAATCCCTGATGCAGTGTATTGTCCGTTTCGGTTGGACGTGTGGCAGATTGCTACAGATATTCTGCGGTTCAAGGTGAGGATTTGTTTGTGAGGGGGTGTTTACGTGTTATTGACGCTGTGATTGAAGGTCAACCTCCCATCGGCAGTGGAGGTTTTTCGATCTATGAGTGTTGAGGATCCTGGGAAGCGGCCGGGTATACAGGAGGCTCTTGATGCGCTTGCAGAGTGTGTGGAGGTTATCCCGCCGAAAGAGTTGATGGCTATGAAGATGTTGGATGAGGATGACTAGGAGGGAGTCTCGATACAGCGGATGCTTGTCATACCTTCCTACTGACTGCATTGCAACATATCATATAAGTGCTATTGTCCTGTTCGCTGGTGACCGTTCCTCATTCTATCAGAGATTGGCTTCAAGTGGACAGGACGAGTAGGTAGTAGTACCGCAAGAGAGGAGTTTTCAAGGGAGAATGTAGCGTGGCCCGCTCGAGTGGAATATGGTAATTGATGAGTTACCCTAGCATGATTGTCACAAGGGCACCGAAGGAAACTACTGCGACAATTTTGTTCAGATTGTATTGTGGTAATAGTGCACAAAATTTTTCTAGATGCAGGTACTGCCGGAGCTCTGGTTAAAACAGGTACTTTTTCGACATGCACCTAGTTCTTTCTCCACTTACATCTGCTTGTCCTCGTTGCTGTAACGCAAGGTCCGTAATAAGCTTCTTGCAAGTACTTTCGTTCCAGGTAGATCCAGGAATTTCCAAGACGACAAACTCCTGCCGCCCACAGCAAGTCTGTAGCTTGTATGGATAATACAAGTCTATCCCAATGGAGTATGATGCTAGAAATATATAAATAACAGACAACATATACTAGAATATCTCAACAAAATAGAAAAAGTGTCGAGAAGCATTTCATGTGCCAGTTTATTCCGTCTCTCGAATGTTCACCTCGGGCATAAAATCATCGCAGCCTCATCCTCAAACTCCAAAGTCGAGCAAAAAAAACATATACGATGAACACTTCTGAAGGGGTTCCTAACGAGGAAGTCATGAAGAACGCTGAATTTACGAGTCTTGTTTCATTCGTACATAACTGGAACGGAAAATCAGATCGAAGGGACTAGAACACTTGATAAGTTGACGAAGATAGGCTGCTACGGGTATATCCGCTTTGTTGATGTACTTCCGCAGGTCTAGAGACGCTGAAAAGCATCAGCGCAATATTGGGTATATTAGTTTATCTATTTTGCTAAGGAATACATGCTCGACCTGCTAGTTTAGCGCGCATCTACCTTGCTTTACTATCACAATAGCTAAGTATCTCACAACAAAAGAAGGGGCCTTCTTCAAATGTAGCCCAAAACACTAAGCACACATAAAATGACATTTCGATGATCAACTCGTATACAATTGTACAAATCGGCCTAATGCTACCCAGTTCAACATGCCCCGGCTCTGAGCATCGCATCATTGACAAGGCCTACTGGAATCAGAAACCTATTTTTTTCGAGGGTTTTATATTTTTTTCAATACGGAGAAGGAAAAAAAAATCGGTTCAAGCTGTTGGTGGCGCAGTTACTGGTGGCCCTCCGGGGGAGTGTCGTCGTTCTTCGCAGGGAAGGCATACTGGAGCACGGTCCTCTTCCCATTATCAATCTCGGTGACGGTGGTGGGCTTGGCAAGCTTGATAACAGAGCTTGAAGCTCTCTGAGAGCCGTCATTACGGACGATCTCGTGAGAGAAACTGTTGCTCTGGCTCAGCCCATCGAAGACCATGGTGCCTCCCGGGGAGTTGAGATAATAGTTTGCCGAGAATCCCTATGTATGACGGCTTAAGCGTAATGAACGCTCAGAAACGGGAAAAGGCTTACCCAATAGTAGTGGTCGTTGTATCTGATGAAGCGCATTAGCTTGAAAGGGACTCTAATAACCTGTGGTAATTACAGACCTGTCACCCTTGGCTAATGGCCGGAGCATGTGAGTAGGATGGGCGGAGTGTGAATCGATGCTACTCACTAGCAATAAGTCCCCCGTCGCTGAGACCATACCTCTGAGGGTATAATTTCAGAAATAGAGCGATTCTGAAGTAACAATGACACGAACCAAGTTATAAGCCGATTTTCCGTTGGTGGTTAACTGAGTTCTCAGGATCGAGAGGGTCTCGCCCGGGCCGACGCTGCATACATGTCAATTACGTCTGTGAAAGACAAGATTGTGTGAGGACGTACGTGATTTCCCACACGTTTTGCAGGGTGTGCGTTGACTCTTTCGATTGGGTCGAAGCAGTCTCGTTGGAACTGGTGATGGTAAAATCGGAACTAGCAACAGACCCGATAGTGACCGACCACTGGAGACTGATAGATGCTGAAGATAGAAACAAATTATCAGCTGAGAGTCAAATCCAAGGTATCCGCAGAAAACTGACAGCTACGAGTAACACTGAGAGATGCCGTCTCGGTTGTAGACCAAGTTTCGGTCCAGGTCGTATTGAAAGGCTGCGAGTTGTTGCGATTGTCGTAATACCAGACAGTTGCCGTCTTTGAGGCGTTGTTGACAGTGTTACCGACCTCGTACGCGTCGCCTTTGGTCACATTGTAGCAGTACCAGCTATAGGGCGGGCGAGTTAGCTTCTAAGGGGAAAAGAGACCTTGTCTACATACCCCCAGTCTTCGGCGAAACCCTCGTTGAGAGCCATGTCGCCGAGCCCTTTCATGGTGTTTCCGCGCTGAGCATTGAGCGTGTTATAAACCTGCTGCTTGTACCAGCCGAGGTTCGACAGGTCTTCCCAAGAGGTTCTGACTCCGGCCATGATATGTAGATGTGCGAGATATCGTAGTAGGGTTGATGATATCGGGTCGAGGTGATATTGACTGAGGAAATGCATGACGTTTTTATACGTTGGAGGGTACCCTTCTCGGTACTTTCCCGATATCTTGTCCAAAGTACAGGATGAATGGAAGCTGTCGTTATTACCACAGATAACAAACACATAGGGCACATGCTCGCGCATCTGACGTCCATCGAATGTTCAGTGCTCACACCAGATGGGTTTACATACAGTCAGAATCATCTTGTCTTTGCTTGCGCCATTTGGGAGTCCAGAGCCTCGATACGTACTTTCCTCCGTCAGAGAACGCGTTCGCATCTTGATCGAAATGCTCACCGTAACTCAGCCTTTTTGTCATGCAGGCTGACTTTGAATCCAGTCTTGAGGACGTCATATACTCACACCTGAAAACTCTGGTAGCGCTCGTAAAGTGGTTGTATGACAGTGATGCCAAGTAGTCTTGACTCGGAAATTTTGATGAGCGAGAGTAATGGGCACTTCGAGCAGTGGTGGCGTTGTTCAACTGACTCTCCGGCAGTGGAGACGCCTAAGGCAACACGCTAATAATTGATGTCATTTCGTTCGATGAATTGAAACCCATGTCGAAACTTTCGTTCTTTAACACAACAACTTCCTCGATTCTCGGTTGTCAAGCGGAGGATAGTTGGCGGAGACCTTTATAATTGATGGTCAAAACAGGTGAATCCTAAACCAAGAAGTCGTACACGTACCTAGTCATTCAAGGAAGCAGGAGCCACAAGGCAATACCGAAATCAAGGTAGTCAGCAGGAGCACCTCTACGCAGACCTTTTTCCAATCTTCGTGAAAGTTTATGACGAGAACTACGGAAGTTTATTGAATATTACATCATTGTGAATGTATTGGAGTACACACGTTTGACAGTTCCCCGTCCTTGAATTGAGCGCTTGAGTTGAATGGGAGCACGGGTCCTCTCATCTCTTCATTTCCGTAGTCACCGACTGCAACTAGCCCTTCTCCTGCGTATCACACGACCACTGCCAACTCCAGACTGTAAATAATCAGCTTGACGATATCAGCACAACAGTGAACCCACATTTGATACCATACACCGGTCGGGCTTGTCGTGACTGGCTATAGGCAAGTTTCCGGGTATCGACTTTTGGACCAGCTCATCTCAAGTTTCCCTTGATCTCGGATGTCACGAACAGGAATGCGGAGTGGAAAATCGAAGTTCTCAATGGTGAACGCTGGGAGAAACTTGTACGCAAAGCTCGTACTCGAGCCTTCAAAATCCGCCAAGTTATTCAAACTTTTGCATCCTGGTCACCTCGCCGTCGTATTCTCGGACAGGTTGAATGTAACGATAACACGGATGCAAAAGACGAGAGATCCTGGGAAATGTCTTTGGCCTTATGACGGAAGAGTTCACTGAATATCCAGGAGTATCAAACTGTTCGCTATGAATTTGCAGGTGACACCATTTGGTCACGAACCAGCGGAGTCTGCACTTCAAAGTAAGATGAGAAAAGGCAATACATTTGAGTTCGCCACCACCTTTTCACGTCTGCGAGTATTCCTCGATCTCTGGACACGCTATCTGCGACTACATCCGTCGTGACGTTCCTATTGACAGACCATCCCCAATACAAGTCTCCAGCGGAACGAAGATTCATACTTGCATTAGCATACAGGCACCGATTCGATGCCGATTGTGTCAGTGGCAGTTGGAAAAGCATCGTAAGGTTGCAGGGTGACTAGGCTATGGCTGCTTTTCTGCGAACGAATGAAGTGACAAATGCTGGGCGGACAGCAAGGAGACGAAGGCAAGGAATGACAGGAAGCCGAACGAGGGGCTTGAGAGGTATCCTTGAAGGACGAATCGTAGCATGCTATTCAGAGCAAGGGCAATGCTGATGCCCTTTGGGAAAGCACTGAAAGAGACGTAAAAAAGAATTCGACCGTGAACATCGTTGAAGGCGCATGACGTACCCAGAAACAACTGGAACTATCCATGGTGTAACGAAAGCAGATCCACTGCCTTTATTCTACACTAAAGACACGTCTTATTAGCTAAAATTCTTAAGGAGGACAGGGTACGAACCTCCAGATTTATAATGATAAAGTCATTGAGCACGAGCTTTCTGTCCTTCTCGACGTGTTGATTCTGCGGCAGGACACTGCACTGTCGATGACGATGGAGCTTCTGTGCAGATGATGCAAAGGTGACGACGCATCTCAGTCTAAGTATTATAGGTCAAACCGAGAGCCATGATGAAGCAAAATGGATTACCTAAGAACGAGTTCCCCATCGACAACTTTCATGGCTGATGATCTCGGCGAAGGTAAGGGTGTGTAGAGCGCGTTGTATCCCTTATATAGCGCCAGGGTAATCATCACCAGCATGCGCGTCCTGCGATAAACCTAGCACTACGACCAAATTGCCGTTAGGTATTGTCTCAGGAAAAACAGCAACAAGTACCTTGGCTCATCTGAGCGTTTTCCGGAATTTGCGTAGGAGGGACTAGATTGAAAGCGACCGAGAGGATGGATGAGAAGGAACGGTTCTAAATTCTGGAGGGGAAAGGGTGGTTGGTCACCTGCGAATGGCATATCCTCATTCAAGGATAGTTACGGGCCCTTCACATACTTCAGCAATCTGGCCAATTTAGAGAATGGTATTCAGCGCACCAAGTCTCTGTATCCAGGTGGACCGAGCACCACCGGGAAAGGGTATACTTGCCATTAAGAATCCGTGGGGTCAGTAGACTGCATGCCACATTAGTATAAGGTAAAAACTATGGTTCATTCGTACGCACCTTGGCCTGAGAAGACCAAACTCGTTCCCGCTGACTCTCTTGGCGTTCGAGAACCCATTTTGTAAGTAAAGTGTCACGTCTGCGAGAGTAGCACTTTGAGAAGAGAAAACACCTTTTACATATCGTCAACGCTGGAAGAGGATACATCATGGCAGTGAAACATCAAGTGCGATTGCTCGGGAAACAGTGAGGAGAATCGTCCATTTTCGAACTTGAAAGCAGAACATCTTCAGGACCGTATTTGGCATAAAGAGAAACAAAACGAACCCTTCATCTCTGGCAGTCTCCCTGTTTACGTGCCCGTCTCGCGTCTCCACCTTTTGTTTGGCGAACAAAGATACCTGTCGTCCGAGGCGATCGAAGCCAAATTTCTAGGCATATAACGGCAAAAATTAGCAAGAACCTGTCGTGCAGTTGATTCGACCATCTCCACATATACGACCTGTTAATGATTGTGCATCTGCCTTTTCGAACTAATCATCAAACGTGTCCCGTGACGTGTATCGACCCAATGTCCATGGACTATACTCTTGCCATTGGGGAAAAGATTGTATTCGCGGCTCCGACATCCAGATCATGAGAGCCCGGTTGTTAAGGATACGCCTGGTTCAACAACGCCGTCAGGTTACAAGTTGAACAAGGTCAGAATATGTTGTCGTCGCTGTTGCAGTCGAACTACTCTGACAGTGACATGGAAGTATGGAACCAATGAAAGCTATTGGTTTCGCCGACCTGGATATATGTTCCAAGCGAAATCGCGACGTTGTTTTCACTGTTAGTGGATGTTGAGGGCAAGAGGCGAGTACGGTAGACCGGTCCGAGCCGGCAAGTTCCAGCTGCCCTTTTGGGACGCGCTATCTCTTCCTCCTTCCAAGTTCCATGACTGTCGTCTCACTGGTTCGTCCAAATTCTTCTCTTGCATTTGCTCTTTTGGCTCTTTTATCCTCATCTTCGCCACAATGAGAAGCTACGACGCGTCGATTTCCAGAACTTGTTCTCCATTGGCCGTTGCCGAAATAATCACTGGCCATCCTTCAGACGCTTCGTCGGTGCTTCTTCATCTGAATGACGCAAATCTAGGGTTGGGTAGCGGGTACGTCACGATTTGCTTCCTTGGATGCATCTATAACATAGAAGCTTATCGGCTTTTTTCTGCAGAGATTTTGCTCCAATGTTTGTGGCATTTTCTTGATCTGCCGGGAATGCCATAGAAGCTCTCTGCTCCAGTACGTTATATCTACATTGAAATCACTCAATACCTCTCCAGATTAACGAGAAAAATCTCCAGAAGATTTGCGAAAGAAGAATTGACCTACTAAGAAGGAGGAAGATAAAGTCGACGTTAGGGAACGACCATTTTCAAGGTGTGTATATCCCTGACTTGTACCAAAGCCGTTACATAAATCTATCTTCAGCATATATGAACAAAAGAGCACGGAATTTGACTTTGTCTGCATATATTATACACCGGTGCGCTGTATGCTCTTCCAACAATTACAGACTAACCCTAACGCCTCCCTCAGCACTCCTCCAAATGGCGTCGATTATACTCTTGATCTTAACCGCATGTTGCAAGTTGGGATAGTCTCCCTCGCCTTCGCCCTTCAAAATTTCCTCCCAGGCTCTACCCTCATTTGTCTTACCATCTTCTTCGACCTTCACCTCCTCGCCGTTCACCCAAAGCTGCGTTGGCTCATACATCTCCACGAGGGCTGCCCAGGGATGCTCGCTTTCGATTCTTATACTACCTTTCGATCCGTCAATAACCCATACAAGCGGAGTCGCAGCCTTCACATTGGCAGGGGTCTGGAAGCCTGCGCGCCAGTGCAAGCTCATTACCGCACCGCTCTTTAGCGTCCCTGATACGGCTACCTGTGATGGTCCGTCAACAGGGACAACATCACCGGTGGGCGTGCCATCAAGATTGACTACTTGGGATGAGGCGTGCTGAACGACTGCGGTCGCAGATACGGTACTAATTGGTCCAAGAATATACGTGAATGCCTCGAGAAAATGGCCTCCAGGGATATCGAGAAGTGTTGCGCCGTTATCCTTCTTCAACAAGTATTCACCTCCTTTAAACACTGCTGGTCCCCATGGCGCATGCGGACCGGATATTCGTGATGTCTGCCATCAATGAGGAAATCGCTACGTGATATTACAAAGGTTTACACACCATACTCGTCGACAAAATGTCTCCAATCTCCCCTTCCTCAACCAGTGTCTTCACCTTGCGAAACAATGGGCTCTGTCTGGCTTGAAGTCCAACGATCGTCCGGATCCCCTTCTCCTTTGCTAGGTCAGCGAGGAGCTTCGTCTCCTTCAATCCTCTCCCAGCCGGCCACTCAATGAAGAGATCCTTCCCAGCTTCAATGGCCTTTGTGGCATTCTCTACATGATTAGGTGTCTTCACTGACACAGTGATCATATCCAGGCTGGGATCTGCAGTGATGGACTCAGGCGTATGATACCCCTTCACCGTGGTTTCCGTGGTTGAATATTTCGCTGCACTTGTCGCAGCAGACGTTGGGTTCGTCGTGGATACGGCAAGAAGCTTGTAATGTGACGAGAGAGGCGGAGCCAGAAGGGGAGGTACAAGATTCGTGGACGCCCATCCTTTGGTGGATAGGCCGATAACACCCAGGCGAATCGGTTCTGTCATGGTGGTCGAGAGAAGAGAAGAGCAATTTCTCGTCTTTATGTTATCATCTCTAGGGAAACTTTCGCGGAGATTTCGCTGCGTATTAGTGATCATTTTGATATCCCGAGATTGACAGCATCTCGTTTAGTCATTCGGCCGGTATTGGATCGACGATCATTATCCTGAAGACTACGCCACCGCCGATGGCCAGAACCACCTCTGGGTTGTCGAGTTCGCGATAATTCGCGTGCAAGTGTTACTTCTCCCAAGCAAACCTCTTTCATGTGGCCAAGCACGCAAATCATGCGTCATGAGACTCCGTTTGGATCTCAAATGCTTCTTTCTCCAGCTGACCAACTGGGATGTCACTGTTCATCCACGGCACCAGCACATCGCGTATTACTCGAAGCATCCCATGAATCCTCTCTATGTTCCTTTTTCCCGGTCCGGCCGGCCCTCGTTCTGCCTCATATATACCACACAAGTCTCTTCCGTCCACCGTAGCAGTCACTATGCGGTTGTTTTTGCTAGTTGCGCTTGGATGTGTGTGTCGACTGGTCTTGGCACAGTGCGTACACTTCTTCTATGAAAACCTATACTCCTGTGCTGACATATGAATCTATAGAGTCGGCCCGTACTACCCAGTATCATTTGACCTCCCTTTCACGAAGAGATAGTAAGCACAATTGGCCAATATCAGCTCATCCGAAGCTCACTCCTCCCGTAGCCCGAGGGAGTTTGTACATCCAGGACTACTCCACACGGCTGGTATATTGTCCTCTTTCTCGCACCCCTGTCGTATTACGGACGACTCATAACAGACGACTTCACTCGTATCAAGAAATACGTCTTCGAGGAGCCCACCGAGCCATGGGTCTCAGCCTTTGCCAACTTTTCTGCAAATCGCTTTGCCCAATCCGATTATACGATGGCTGGTCCGGCTTCGTATGTTCAGCGTGGGTCGCCGAGCTCGTCGTCCTGGACGTGGTGGCAGAATGGTCGGCGTTGTTGTTATAATTCCTCTAATTAGTCGCTGACTGAAATATAGATGCTCAGGGAGCGTACTACGTATGCTGCCCTTGGGAGTTGCTGTTCTCTGCGGCTAACTGGACTATCTTCAGAACGCGCTGATGTGGGCAATCACTAATGATGAAGCACATGCACGGAAGGGTATCGAGATACTCACTAGATGGGCCAGCGTCTTCACTGTCGTGAACGGGACGGATTCTCAGCTTGCTGCAGGTCTGCAGGGACAGCTTTTCGTCAATGTATGGGCCCCATTGTTTTCATTGTCGTCAAGAATGACTGACATAGATATAGGCAGCGGAGATTCTGCGATACCTTGGACCAATGAATACCACTGATTACGCGTCCGTCACGGCGATGTTCTTTAGAGCTGTTGCACCGGCTTTAGTTCCAGTTGGGCAGGCGAATTATGGCGTCGCTGGTATGGTATCCCTTTACCGAATGCCGATGGACTGAACTTATGCAGATTGTAGCCATACAAACTCTGGCGTCATTTGCAGTAGCTTTGCATGATGTTACGATGGTACGTCTTGTGTCTTGGTCATAGAGTAGTACGGTTGCTGACGATGATACCGTGTAGTGGAACAGGTATATGCCGAACAAGATCGACTACCTCGTCCTCATTGATATCCCCTTCAAGTGCAATGGACAGGATACAGAACGATCCCTGCGTAGGCTTACCCTTTCTATTCCATCCTGAAACGGGCCAAAACGTCGATTCGGGACGCGATCAGGGCCATAGCCAGGTAGGAACGGCGTGGTTGGCGAGTATGGTGAAGGTGAAGCCGTTTCGTGGCCGAACTCGCGATACTGGTTCGCTGATGGCTGTGGTATAGATAATTGAAAATCAAGGCTTCCCAGAAGTGTGGAATATGGCGGACAACCTTCTTCTGAAAGGTATGGCTGTTCTTTTCTTCTCCACGCGTACTGATGAGTGTAGGATACGAATACTTGGCTCGGTATAATATGGGAGACGATGATGTCCCGTATGACCCCAGCTGGGCGCGTTGTCAGGCGGTTTTGGTGAATGGACCATGGACAGAGATTTCGAATGCTTCGCGTGGAGTGCAAGATGGTATCTTCGAGTTGCCGTACGCGAAATATGTGGTAAAGATGGGGCTTGAAGGTCAGTTTCTGCTCCTGGCATCGTGGAAGAGTCGTGCTGATGATGCTATAGCTCCGTGGGTGACTAAGGCTGTGATGGCAAATCGACCAGAGCAGGGGTAAGTTTATCTTACATTTTGCAGCAGAATCGGAGCTGATGATTGATTGCAATTACAGGACGGCTGATACGCCTGGGTTTGGAACGCTCTTGTATAATTTGCGCTCTAGTAACAGCACGTAATGCAGCTATGTACTGTGACGGTAAAACTTTGGACTATTTACCAATGGTTTATTCTTACTATACCAAGTTGGAGACCTCGATAGAACCCTATATTCTACTCTGTAACAACTGCGGCAGATGTTTTGTTAATCAAGTCCCCCCCACCTTCCCTCTCGATACTACGTGCTCGAACGACATCTGGGTTCAATCATAAACCAGCACAATAAATTAGAAGAGAATTACATATATAGAACACTAACCGGTAACACCGCCGCCAGTTTCATCAAATATTTCAAAAGGAAACAAGCCGAAATAGTGGCATATATCTGCTCCTTCCAGAACAGGATCGAACCCACACATAGCTGCTAATTCACGTACACGCGCTGGGGCTCCTTCGATGGCCTGTATTTTATAAGATACCAACTGAGCACTCATGTCGATTCTAGCTGAGAGGATTTGCTCTGCTTCTTCGGGAGGTATTGGGGTACCATTTGCGACGAAACTGAAAGGCCATGACATCTCGGAAGGTGATCGTGAAGTGATGGCAGGGGCATTGAATATCACCGACACTGAGAGGGTATCCAGGTCATGTTTTGGTAAGGAGTTTATATTTGGTTGGATATGGAGGTAGAAAGTCACATCTAGATCCCATGAATCAGCCAAAAACATCATACTGATAATATTACAATAACCTTCTCTCAGGTCTGATATCGGATACGGCCCCTGCTCTTTCAGTAGTGTCTGTGCAAACCAGGAAAATGCAAGCCTCTGGTAGTTCTTTCGATCACTAGGAAAGACCGAAAAGGAGTAGATCTGATTTGGAGATAATGACCAATGTATGGATGTCGTTTTGCTTTGAAAAAGTTTCAGTAAACGCAGAGAAAATGATGAGATGCGACAAACTTCAAATGCCTTGAATTGCTTCGCTCCGAGTCTCTGGTCCACTCTAAGGTCCACTCCTCTAAATCACCCACCACTCTCCCATAGCTAACAAAACCTGGATATCCAGGACAGCTTTCGGGATAATCGAAACATCGCCATGTGTTGCGTCCGAACAACAAGTGAATGCTCTCATAGATTTGCCAAAGGTAGTCTTTCTGTAAACTCGTAGGGCATGAAAATACATGCTCCAGATGTGGTAGATCCAGATCATCACTTCCCTTTGTACCCTCTCTGGTACACATAACCACTGACACTCGGGAGCACCCCAAATGCAGGACAAAAGATTTATAGAAGTGATCATTTAGAGTTAAATCATCGAGGATGACTCGCCCTTGTTCATTGAAGCAGTTGTAGGAGATTGGCATTCTCTGTGGCTACCATAAGTCATGCAGTTGTTTAGTGAAGAAGTGCATTTCACTCACGTCTTTGTCTTCCTGCCGTCGCACCCAATCTTGTCCGGCTAGGTAGTTTGCTATGGACTGAAACAGATTAATGCTTCAGCGGTCTAGAAAGGTTGCTATACCTGCAAATCATTGTACTAGGTAGGCTAAGTCGCACAGAGAAATCCATAGATGAACGACGTCTCACCATTCCAACATAGAAAAGAAGCGCCTCCATTGTGCCCAACATTGGTCTACGTTCCATGATATCCTTATAATTGTACCTTTTTCTTTCGTTCGCATTTCCTAGAAACATACGAGATGAATCAAGCTGGACACACTGCCAGTCAGGCGGAAAATCACCGTGGAACACAAGAGCTGGAAACATTGGTACCATGCATACACCAAAAAGTTGGGTAATATTTGGATGCCTAATTCAAGGTCGAAGTAAATCTAGTGATAAACGCGTTCATCGAACCTCAAGTGAAGTCTTTGATCTACTTCTTTTTGAAATTGCTTGAAGGGATAGACTATGTTTAAGCGTAGAGGAAGCTTAACATACTTGTATCACTTGTTCTTTCTGATCAGCCGGAACTCGATAAACACGAACAATTTTTGGGCGGTCATCGATGGTTGCATCATATTCATCAAAATCAGAGTTCTGTTGCCATGAGTCGCATGGGATCGGCGCCCTGATGTATATGTCTCCTGGAACGAGATTTCGGACCTGAAAAAGGAGATATTAAGAACCTGAAACATGTTACATGTAACTAAAACATCGCGTACCACCCCCTTATAAATACCTCGTTCACGGAAGGCCTGAACTAATGCCATCTGAAGCTTTTCCATGTTTTCGTTCTGCGTGATGCCCAAGGTGAGCATCTCTGAAGTATTGTCCTTGATGAGCGACGTGACAGCCCTCTCTGATGCCTCCACTAGACTAGTGAGAGAGCCGAATTCCGTACTAACTTGATCCTGGACATCGGATAGGATCAGTCGCGTTGTGGTCGTCGTACGAATCTGCGGACTGTTCAAGAGCAATTGCAGCGATAATGACAAGACACATACCAGGAAGTCTTCCTTAGTCGCTTGTATCCGCAGCCGGTAAGTGCTAATGTCATCAGAGATCTTCTTCGCTCTGAAAAATCGCCGGATTCTGCGAGGCGACCTCTTTTCGCTGTTCAACTTGGAAAGGAGATCAGTCATGTATCTGTGTGTCAACGTGAGGGGATTCAGATTGTAAATTTAGGTGAGCTCACGTCTGAAATTCTACACAAATTCCCTGGAAATGTGAGGCGCTAGTTGGGCCGTGTTCGATTACAGCGTCCCTCACAGCAACCAACGTGTTCACAATACTCTCAGCTAACTCTCGCAGATTGCTTCTATTGTCTGCGGCTTTCTACATGTCTCATTAGCGAAGAGGCAGGGGAAATAATCACGACATGCCTGAATAATCTCGAGGACGGCTACCACACATAGAGCGGTACCCTTGATGAAAGGAAAGGGAGCCATTTCGCCTGCCGCAGCGATCAGTTTTGCGGCCTGGAGACATGAATCGATACCAGACATAGTAGTAGAACGAGAAGACTTGGAGAGAAGTACTGCACCGTATAAGTCTAGTTGTGTTTTAGGTTCTGATCGGCGTTGCAAGATTTGGATTGTTGTGGTCTTTGACAGTTCGTCGCATAGGGACATGGCCGTAATGATATTCAGTCATCGTTCGAATGCCGACGGCGTACGATGAGTTTTCGGGGTCGCTGACGTCGGTAGACGAAGCATCATACGAGCATTGTTCCTGTGGAATAGCCACCATCCTCAATGAGGGCCTATAGTTCCCATCGGCTGCACTATGGGAGAATGCTGCCCTGGTTATGCTGCTTCGCTCTCCATAGCTGTAATAAAAACACGTTGTCGAGAGCCACGTAGGCAAGTAGAATAGAGGCATCTCTGCTGATTTGGTTATATCTCCGCAGCCTGTAAAAGGCGCAAGGATATGGAGCGAATTTAATTCATAAATCATACATGGGATCTAGAGAGTTGCAGCTTCTTGATTTCTGCGTGCTTGAATTCGAAATGCTGTAACAGATACGCTGAAGAAATCCAAGGCAATGCTGATATTCCGAGGACGGGCTGATGGGTTATTTGAGTTCGCCTTACTATTGCGAAAACGGGCAGCAAAGGAGCATGGTTCCTGTTGCCCTCGCGGGTGCCTAGCTAGCTTTGACTCGTTAAATTCAAGGTTGATGGACGGGTCGAACCGAAATGCTGAGTACTGTAGAGCTCAAGCTGGCGAGGAGATCGCGGTCATGATTTAAGGATTAGTCTCTGCGGCATTCTCGATAACTCGACGGTCTCCGGCTGTACGACAAGTTAATGGCTGCGGAGTATCGTATCTGGCCTCTTTCGACATCTCTCAAACCCATATTCTCGCTTGATACCCTCAGTCGTAGGTGATGTCTGCGAATGATATTGCCTCGGCCAGACCATAACAATAATCTTTGGAGCCTGAAGCCTCTCTGCAGTGATGGAACGCAGGACGAAGGGGTACGGGTTACGGAGAGCAGATCAAGCACGTATACTTGAGGTTGTCGAGGAAAGCGAGTATCCCTTGTGAGCGGAGGTGGGGTGACGTCTGCTATGCGGTGCATGGAGATTGCGTCCCGGAATTTGAGGTATGAGGAGCGTTTGAATCTGAAGGTCATCCGGAAGCAGCTCTTCTGGTAATGGTTGGCGGCGTATATCTTAAGATAACAGTGAAGTAACTAGCTGTTAGATTAACCAGGTAATAAAATAGCATAAATGAGAGAAAAAAATTACTCACAAGCTAGGTAGACGGTATCGTGTTTATCTTCCGACCCTAACATCGTATACCTGCTACCTTTCCATGCCCCTCCCACTCAACTAACCATCGAACGTGTTCCGTGATGCGTAAAACCAATGGCCACGGGTTAAATCCTGTGTGAAGAGACAATATTCACAACTCTGCCGTCCATGCCAGAGCATTACCAGATTCCATTCGCTGAGGATAAGCCTGGTCCAAGAACACCGCGAAGCTGGATATATCAGAATATGTTGTCGTTGCTGTTGGTGTCGAGCTATTTGGATAGTGACACGTAAGTATTGAAGAAGTAAAAGCGAGTGATTCCGCTGACTTAGATATATGTTCCAGGTGAAAATCGCGACGGGATTTTCACTGTCAGTGAGGATGATGGGGGTAAGAGGGCGAGAACGGTACACCGGTCCGAGTCGGCGAGCTCTAACTGCCCTTTTGGGACTCGCTATCTCTTCTTCTTTCCTTGACTGTCGTCGTCCAAATCTATCTCTTGCATTTGCTTGTACGACTCTTTTATCCTCATCTCCGTCACTATGATAGGATATGATGCGTCAGCTTCCAGGACTTGCTGTTTTCCACTGGTCGTTGCCGAAATAATCATGCTTGATACATACTTCTTCACTTGAACGATGTAAACCTAGGGTTGGGCATTGGTACGACGTGTTTTGATTCCTTGGATGCACATACTAACGTGTAAGCTTATCTATTTTCTTCTGCAGAAAATTTGCTCTGATGTTTGAACTCCTTGGAAGCGTTCTGCTCCTGTATGTGATATCTACATTAACATAATTCGATATTTCTCCATGCTGAAGATGACCATAGAGAATATTTGCGATGGAAGAATATGTATAGGAGAAAGATTCATGTAGTCGAAGCCGGGGCAAGGCCGTGGGCGTCTTCGAAGAGCCTACCGAGCCATGGGTCTCTGCGTTTGCCAACTTTTCTGCAAATCAATTTTGCCCAATCCGATTATACGATAGCTGCTCCAGCTTCGTATGTCGAGTGTGGGTCGCCGAGCTCGTTGTCTTGGACGTGGTGGCAGAAAGGTGGGTGGTAATGTTTTAACTCCTCTAATCAGTTGCTAACGGAAATTCAGATGCTCAGGGAGTGTACTATGTAGGCTGACGTCGATGGAGTTTCTATTCTCTGCGGCTAACTGGACTGCTTCCAGAACGCGCTGATGCGGGGAATCACCAACGATGAGGCACACACACAGAAAGGAATTGAGATACTCACTAGGTGGACTAGCGTTCCCACTGCTGTAAACAGGACGGATTCTTAACTTGCTCCTGGTCTTCAGGGGCAGCTGTTAGTCAATTTATGCGCCCATCGTTTTCATTGTCGTCAAGGGTTACTGACATAGATGTAGGCGGCGGAGTTTCTGCGATATCTGAGACCAATGAATACGATGGGGTTATGGTAAGGTTCTTTAGATTTTTCACACCGTCTTTCCAGTTGGACAGGCGAGCTACGGTGTTGCTGGTATGTTCCCCTGTTTCCGGAGGCAGACGAACTGACGCACCTCGTGTCTTAGTCGTGCAGTACTACGTTTGCTGACGTCCATACCGTGTAATGTAATTGGTATGCTGATCAACTCCCATTACTTTGTCCTCTCTGATGTCCCCTCGAAGTGCAATGGATATGATACAGAACTACCCCTGCATAGGCATAGTCAAGTGGCTGGCACGGCGTGGTAAGCAAGTATTGTCAAGGTGAAGTCGCTTCGCTAACGACTGTGGTACAGATAAGCCAGAAACAAGGCTTCCCATAGGTGTGGAATGTGGTGGACAACCTTCTTCTGAAAGGTATCTCCGTTTCTCTCTTCTCGACGCGTACTGATGAGTGTAGGGTAGGAATACTTGGCTCGGTATAGTACGGGAGACAAAAGTGTCCCGTACGACCCTAGCTGGGCTCGCTGTCAAGCTGTTTCGTGAACGGGCCGTAGTCCGAAATTTCGAATGCTTCGTGTGGAGTGAAAGACGGTATTCTCCAGTTGCCGTACGTGGGGCTTGAAGGTCGGTTTCTTCTCCTGGTATCGTGGGAGGGTCGTGCTGATGATACCATAGTTCAATGGGTGACCAAGGGTGTGATGGAAATTTGGCCAGAGCAAGTCATCCATCCGGAGGCGACATCCGTGTGACATATACTGACCAAATACTGGCTCGTACGTACCGTATGTTCACGAGCTCTTTCCCAAAACACCAGTGTCACACCACCTTTTCCCAGAGCGAAACGCTCAAGTCTCAGTCTGCCGCAAGTCTGCCATTTGCTTTACACTTATTTATTCGTGTTTCATCTCCTGAGACCTCGAGAACGCTCTCAAACACACATTCCCCCCTTACAACTCCCATGGCCCAAATTCAAGCCTCCATCACACTTTGTAGCAACTGCGGCCACTCGTTTAATACCAAAGTTTCTTCTCTTCCTCTCGATGTCGATGCATATCTACGATCCGGAGCACAGATCGTTCCTAAATTGGAAGAAGAAGCGTATTCGAAAACTCTCTCAGAACTACGAAAGAAGTTATCCCAGTACAATTCGCACATATCCAACTTGAAGTGTATCGTGGAGAATCTCGAAGCTGGGCGCCAGTTGATCAGGAAGTCGGTTAGGAAAGTCCGATCTCTTGTTGCACCCATTCGAATGCTGCCCCTGGAGGTCCTTTCCATCATATTCGAATATGTCCGCATTTCCCTACCGTTCTATGACGGGCACAATGAGAGGCGAGTCGCATCCAAAGGACCATTTCGCCTCTCCGCTGTCTGTGCATATTGGCGTGACATATGTCTCTCTTTACCTCAACTTTGGACATCTATATTCGCCAACGCCAACAACTCAGACCTATTACCTTGTTTCAAAAACCTGTCAAAATTGGCCGAAGAGCGTTCTTGCCAGCTCCCATTATCCCTTGATGTATCAGCACAGTACACAGCTCCGCACCTATATCTTAACGTTTTGTGGAGCCACTATCACTTCTTGAATTCCTTGTTCTTCGGCTTCGGCAACAGTACGATTAATTTGCGCCGCCTGAAGAACATCTCCCTAGAGTTGAATTTCAAGTTCAATAATATAGTGCTAGACGAAAGCCGCATTGAATTTCCGGAACTGGAACATCTCGAGCTCTCCGGATGTTTGGAAGCATTCCCTAACGAGGTTGTCATCGGTATATTTGCGCATGCTCCGAAATTCCATACTCTGTCTTTGGGCAATTTCTCCGATATCGTGCATTTCCGGTTGCCGGACGAACAGATCACAACGATCCATTATTCCGGTTTTCGATCGCGGAACATCGACGCTTTGGAGCGCCACAAGAGGTTCCCCAATGTTACCACAGCTACTTTTCATCGCTGTAATCTTGATTTGCTCAATACAGGCGACCTTCCCTTCCGGAAGCTGCTTCTAGAAGATGTGCTGCTAGATAATCATGTCAGAGATCATATTTCACAAACGACGATCCCGTACCTCACTTCCCTCGAGCTGGTCAACACTGATCACGAAGTGTACCGTAACGCTTACAAGGCAGACGTATTTCGCAACCTCGTACAACGCGTCTCCCAGTCTCTCACAGAGCTCACGCTCACCACTGTTGATTTCCTCTCCACTGATGCGCTTCCCATCCTTCGCATGGCGCCGAACCTCTTGAGGTTATCCATCGTGGAGCAAAACAAGGTCCAGATGCGTCTCATTACTCCCAATTTCATACAAGGGCTTTATGATCCAGGGATGCTTCCAGAGTTACGGCATTTGCAGCTTGTCTGGTCAGACAGCGTGAATGAGGCCGCTGTTATGGGTATGGTTGAGCATCGGGCGTTCGAGTCTGTTGTTATAGGTGTGAGGATGGGAGGCACGCTCAGACGGGATACGTTGGCTAAAGTCTATGCTCTTCGAAAACGGGGTACAATAATAACCCTCTGGTAGAGAAGACCGCGGGAATGCATATACACATACGAGTTAACATTGTGATTTGTTGTGTGTAGGCTCTACCGTCTCGTACAATGCTGTGAACAAGAAACCTCTGAGTTGGCTAATTTTGAGTTCATCCAAGCGGCGGACACGTGTGTGTTTCCTGCATTCCATCGTATTCGACGTTCAATTTGAGAAGATAGTGCGACACGCATTAATGAGAGGGGTTAGAAGACGTGTCGGTCCGATCACCCGGTCGCAGGCTCTGTGCTTCCTACTACCATCATCGACGTGACTCCCCTCTTTTTCTGGTCCCGGCTTTCCTCTTCCTGCCTTCTGCTTTCCGTAACGAACCAATATTTTTGTCTACTCTCGTGTCTATCGCCAAGATTTATACCTTGGCCTCGAGAGCAGCGCAGAATCATCGCGGATTTGGGGTATCAGGTCTGTTCTTTCGTAGGATGTGTGTATCGTAAAACTTGACCTGTTTCCTCTGCAGATATCTCGCGAACAAGACGGCTTCTATGAGCTCGACCCCGCCCACCGACATTTCACAGATTTTCTCCACTCAATTCGATGACGTGGATCGAACAACGATTGTTCAGGAGTGCTTGAAACAGGGAAGAAAAATGCCAGCGGAGGGCCGTCCTCTTTCTTGATGACATAGCCTTCATCGATCCTGGTCCGTGAGCTGGCTGTATGTGTAAACATTGGTGTTTGTTGGGCCGCCTCGGTGTGTTTTTCTTACCGCCATGAAACAGTTCCAAGATCTCATTACTATCTTTAGGAAGGCCTTGGAAAGGGCAGTACTATGAACAAGTGCTCAACGTGAACTCAATGCGATCACGCCGTTTTGTACTGAACTCACAATATCAGTTCATTAATAGCTGTAGTACAGATAATTGAAAACCAAGGCTTCCAAGAACTTAGTTTGGAACATGCCAGTAGATATCCTTCTTCTGAAAGGTATGGCTGTTCTTCTCTTCAAGTTCTCGATGCGTGCTGACGAATGTAGGGTACGAATACCTGGCTCGGTATAATATGGGAGACGATAACGTTCCGTACGACCCCAGCTGAGTGCGCTGTCAAGCGGTTTTGGTGAATGGGCCGTGGATTGAGATTTCCAATGTTTCGCGCGGAGTGCAAGATGGTATCTTCGAGTTACCGTACGCGAAGTATGTCGTAGAGATGGGGCTTGAAGTCGGTTGCTTCTCCTGGTATCGTGATCGAGTCGTACTGATGATGCTACAGGTGTGATGGCAAGTCGGCCAGAGCAAGGGTAAGTTTATATTACATTTTGCAAGCAGATCGGAGCTGATGATTGATTGCGATTACAGGACGGCTGATACGCCTGGGTTTGGGACGCTGTTGTATAATCTGCACCCTGATCACAGCACATAATGTAGTCGTGTACTGTAGTTGGCCTGAAAGAATATATTTTCAAAGAACTTGGTCTTTGCACCGAAGCTGGGTTTCCGTTTCGTACAGATCAATATTGTCCCTCGGAGAAATGGACATGCATCTTCAGGAAAGCCGGACAACGTCATCCCACTGAGCTCGCTGATTACGGTGACGGACAATCTCCTTTATGTGTTACCTATTCTCAAGGGCGTGCAGATCCTGCTTCTGTCCAACAGTGGCAAGTCAGGCTTAGCTCGTAGTTTACAGCATGAGGACTTTTAAAGACGATGCGCATGCGGTGTCAATCTGGACCGTCCGTATACTAATGCCAGAAATGTGCGATCACTTCACGACTAAGCATGATCACGAAACGTAAACGGAACGGCTCACGAAATCGACAAAAAAACACATCTACATTGCCTACGCTACTGAGGGAAAGCATCAGATGACACGTACATAAACAGAAAGCAAGCAAGGACACAGATAGCCGTCGTGGCCAATCTGACGTCGTTTTCCTGCTTGCCGGCAACTTCACCCCTAGGTATACTAGTTCGAGTCTAGCCGTGATCACTCTCGAACACTTTTCCTTCTCGTAAGTTGCCATTTACCAAAGCGATATCTTCATACCACGCTTCCTCAGACCATTGACCCGAGAAAGTGTGTTCGCCTCGAGCTCGCCTCCATGTCGAATACCTATAACAACAGACTCCAGAACTGTCGCTCGCCTTTCGATCACATCCATCACGGCGCCCTCGTCAACATCGCCTGACCAGACGAGTTGCAAATGTTCCATATACTGCAGTACCCCCGGAGTATCAAGTTCTTCAATAAACTTCGGAGTGATGAGCTCCGTGTTGGTCCGTTCGACGATGGATAATCGTCTGAGGCTTGGAACGGTTCGAAGGAGGGAGAGTAAAGCGGTACAGGTGATGTAAAATGTGGTAAGAATAAGCTCTGTGAAATCGGGGGAGTGAGTGAGATCGGGGATATTTTCAAGGATGAGGGTGTATCCATTTGGATCTAAAGGCTCAGATTCAATGAGCTCTAGAGAAATGAGCTGTGGTATTTTCATCCCTCTGGGAGAATCGCCTGGTGAGAATTGTGATGACCATTCTATGGCCGAATCATGGAGAATAAGTTTGCGGAGGGGTGTATTGATGATATCACGAAAAGCCATCCGGCATCTTTGTAGCGTAGCAGTTGTGGTGTTAGGAAAGCCGTCTGGAAATGATAGGTAATGCATGTAGTCTGCAAGGTGAATGTCGACGATCTGGTTGCGTTGTAAACGGAAAGGCGTACGCCTCAAACCGCGCAGGGCGAGTTTAAGAGTATGCAATTTTGGAGTGCGCGAAAACAGATTGATAAGTTGGCCATGAGGGCAATAAGAAGGTGACAAGGAATGGCCGGAGAGATCAAGATATTCCAGTTCAGGAAGTTCCAAGCCCGGAGTCGCGTGAAACGCTTGCGCAAGGGTGCTATTATTGAAATCGATGGAGATGCGGTGTAGATACAATTGATCCATGGAATTGTGGAGGTGAAATAAGGAGTCAAAAATATTATTGCCCCGGGCCTCCTGGAGGATATTATGGGTTGCAGAAGAAACCTGGAGGTTTAACAGAGGCTTCCCAGACCACTTTTCGCGTCGAGCTAAGAGGTCGTTGAAGTATGATGGAGAGGTATCATGACCAGCATGAATGAATGTGGATGTCCACAGTTGAGAGAGGGATACACAGATGTCGTGCCAGTATGCGCAGACAGAGGATAGGTAATTCGGGGTTGCGAATATAAGCGGCATTTCGCCACACTCGGTAAATGGGTTGTACGAGATAGAGAGACAAGCGCACTCAAATATGATTTGGAGTATGTCTCGGGGAATTGTACGGATAGGAGCAAGTAGGGTTCTGGATCTTTGGATACGATCAGCGAGAGATTGTCGAACGTCTTCAAGCTTTTCCAAGGCGGTTTTCAACTGAAGAATTTCGACGTCACATTTGGCAAGTTTTGTCTGCCAGCTGGAGATGGTGCTGGAGCAGATATCTGCCTCTGATTCGCTGATCTGTGCGCCGCAGCAAAGATACGCATCGGTATCGAAATGGAGGGAAGAAACGTGAGTATCTAGCGAGTGGCCGCAGTTGTCGCAGAGTGTTATGTAGGGCGGCATTTCGGCGATCGTTCTGAAGTCTGGATAGCGTAGGAACAGAGCTGAGAGTAGTGGTCAGAAGTCGAATGAAGGTCGCTCAAGGAAGCTTACGGTGAAAATTGCAAGATTGAGGATACTCAAACAATGTGCCTCGGGATGGTATGATCAAGCGCCAAAAATAATTTGAACACGATACTGGTCTATTCCTGTTCAGCGTAAACTGACAAGATATTGGTAGAGATCGAAATTAGATGGATGATCGATGGAAGGAAACCAACTAGGATGTGGCTGTGCAAGTCCAACTAACCCGCTTTGGGATAGTGATTTATCACTGATTATCACCGCCAGTACACGCTCCTATATTCCAATCTTTTCTATAGCATTTTAGTCACCTGCCACTGGATGAAATTCGACAGAATCGTTACCACAGCAAAAATATGTCGGCTTTTCCGACTCATTTTGGGTCAAAATGTTATATATTATCCCTCATACTTTCGCGAACTCAGGTCGGTCTACCGCACTCCATATAGAGTTGCTGCCACAGTGGTGGTTACACTGAAGGATACCAACGTTGGCAAGCGGAGTTCGATAGGTATCGCAGATCTGAGATCACACGTGTAGTGCGTGGTGTTGTTAAAAATAGATGTAAGTTCGTGTGGAGACGATGTGGCTATGCTGTTCGATCCTCGACCACCATCACCACGACTACATCCTTGCTCCTCGACGCCCTCGTTGTGACTTCACACCTGTGTCACGAAGAATCTTACTCCCAACCTCTTTCAATGTTTCATCAGTATAGGAGAATACAACCAACCGTGACACCGACCAGCCCTTCAGCAATTCGGGCTCGCTAGCTTCTCGTTCTCGCCGCGTTGAAGGATTGGTATTGCTTCTTGTACCGTGGTAGTGGGGTACGTGGGACAATTTGGGATGTATGGTGCATGTTTCATGCTGGACGTAAGGATGCTTCTGACTCTAGGTTCTGTAGTATTTCGCTCGACGTTTTGTGCTGGGACATGCAGGGCTCGGCAATGACTGGGACACTCGCTATGATTTACCGGATTTCTATGCCAAGTGCCATGGGATACAACCGAATGCCTTTCGCCCTCGTACGTGATTCCAGCATTCAGATCGGCCTCCATTTCACCGTGTTCTAGTAGCGGCTGGCCTGTGAATGGCATATACAATTTAGATAACACCCCAAGTGTCCCGAAATCGATGTTGGAGACAGTAACGAGGACAACGTAACCGAGCATAGGACAAGGTCGCGGTTGTTAACCCTGGAAATATATGCCATGGAGTTTAATTTCGTTAGGTGCGCTATACGTTCTGCGCCTCTTGGCCGATTCTGACGCCTCTTCTAGTGCTCCTGAACTGAATGCTGCAATGAGGATAATCTTCAACTCTCTTGCTCCTCAAGCCTTCCTCCTGACCCTCAGTTTTCCCGTTTTCCTCGATATTGCCGTTCGCCCAAACCTGTACCAGCTCGTAGTACGTTTCCACCAGTACTACTGGCTAGCGGCTACTTTCAAGTCACGATACTCCCCCATTTCGTCAATAACACACGCGAAACGAGTTGCCGCTTTTCCATTACCAAGGGTCTCTGACCCTCTACGCGTGACCGTCGCTTCAATATTCGCCATGCCAGTCCTAGCTACCTATGCTGGGTTGTCGACGACACGGTCAATGAAGCGCGCTCGAATAGTGCAATGGCAAGAATCGATTCGACACGTCCAAAGGATGTGCCTGAAGGTGTTCAGAGAGCACCGTCCAGGAACCTTGAGGAGTGCCGGCCCCGCATCTTCGTGCTACAACTGTTCGGCTTCACTGGTCTCCATGACACAAGAAGAAGGCGGGTCCTGTATATGCACCACGCTGGTCGTCGGTAGTCTCGTCAGCATTGTCAGCCACTGGCTGGTGTGAAGGAGGGGCTACCGCATCACAGTCATATCAGGGTTGAACTTTGCATGCCATATCGGCACCAGTAAGTCCGTTATTCGACGGGGACCTCGTTCAGCCCTTCTGACATTTTCCCAATCTTCCAATTTCCAAAGCGCTCAAAATTTCACACCCAGATTTGCTGGGCATAGCCTCGTCATGCCGTTATTGTTGCCTGGTCTAGATGGAGCCGAGACTCATGCGGGTGGGTATTCATACAGGCGCAACTTGGACTCTGCTCTTCATTCCGCCTCTTCCTCTCCTCGATTCTCTCCCTTTCGTTCTCTCTTGCCTTGACTCCTATCCTCGAGAGCATGTTCTTCTCACTGTTTAGCATGCATTCAGTGAGTCTAGCATCGCTGTTCTTGTCCGTCCCCTCACCATTGAGCTCTACGACTCCAAATCTCGTGATCGACATGACTTTCCTTTTGACACGGGCCGGTTTCCTGATTCCTGTTCCTGACAGTCACCTCCACGGCGTCGAGCTTCTCGGCAGCTATGATAGGTGCCTCTAGAAAGGCGACATTGCTGCTAGCACGGCAAACAAAGAGGTAAGCTTGTAAGCACCTCTTTGTTGAACAACGGTTAACCGTTACTTGACCTAGCCTTAGATTATCACATAAAGCCCATGGTGGGTTCTTCTCCGTATGACTACATTCATTCATTCTCCGACACCGTTTAGTATCCTTCTCGAGCTATACTTGTAACACGACGTCGAGGTTTCTGGCTCAAGTACAGTAAAGAAAGGTAGGCTTATTCTTATTCCTTTATTGAACGATAGCTAACTAAATCTTTACCCAGGTCTAACGATATTTATGCCATTCAAAATGGGGCCTTGTCGCGTTATACACCCTGGTAAGTCCGCAGCCGAAGTTTTTATTTTCTCCAAGCTAATCATTACCTTAGCGATAAGTACTGTAATGTCAATACAATACAAGTCGACGCTGTTCAAATCTAGAACGAAGCCATGAAGATAGCCAGGTGGAGAGTAAGTTACTAACATTGCACTTTGTATTCCTTTGTTCATGCCGTTGGTCCTAAGTCGATCCGTGCATGTCATGAATCAGTTGTTTCTATGGCTGCGCGACCTTCATGTGATCAAGACGGGGTGAAATTGAACGTCAAACGAAGATATCACGGTCGTCAGTGTGAAATATTAATGGGTGGACTGAAGTAAGCCAACCGCATTTTTCCTCCTTTGCCTTGACTGAAAATCTGCAGGTTCTTTGCTTCGTGTTCCTTGGACTATGCACAAGTTGACCTAGCTTTAGATTTCTTGGTGTCGAACTCATGGTGAGCTCATTTCGTATGCTTACTTTTGTTCCCTTCTTCCTGATTGTGTTCAAAGATTGACGTGGTAATGCTGCATCGGGGTTTAAGCATTAGGGCAGCAAGGAAAAGGTAAGCATATTCGTACCCGTTTCTCTTGTTCCTTCACATCTGACTGACGTTTTACCCAGCTTTGTTTTTCTTGGGGGTTTTCTATCACGTACAGGTAAGCCTGTAGCCGAACGCTTGGCGTTTTCTTCAAGCTAACGATTATCTCAAGTATTCCACATCATTTGAATGCTAAGGATTCGGAGCTCGAAAGGATCGTCAGTGGGGATAGTGGCAGGTTGGCAATTGTAGGTGAGTTCCCAACATTTTGCTATGTCTCCCCTTTCTCAAGTTTCCAGCTCTCCTCGCCAAGATATACTTACTCGACCACCCGCTGGTAACAAGGCTCCCTACACCATTCGAACGTAAAACGATGGTAGCGCAGCAGCTGGCACGCGAAATGGTTACACGTTGACTGATGTAAGCCAACCGGGTTTCCTCCCCTTCGCCTCGACTCAAAATATGCAGGTCACTATTCGACATTCGGTGAGGCATTTTCCGTTGCTTTGGGGATCAACGATCTCTGGCAGATGCTCGAGCGTGGTAAGACTAGGTGCACGAGGTATTCATCTATTCTTGTTATCACAACTGGTTTTTTCTGCTGACCGCTGCTCTTTAGGACCAACTTTGCACATCCCACTCGTTCGGTATTCACAGCTGCAATATCCGTATAATAAAGACAAGAGCCCTCTACGGTGTGAAGCAAAGATAACAATGCTGTTAGTGGGAAGTGCTAACGAGCAGACGACCTGAGGTTAGTCGCCTACCTTCTTCGAGCCCTACCTTGACTGAAACTCCACAGGATTTCTGTTAGGAACACCAGAGGTATGCTCGGTCCTTTCGATCGTCTTGTTTGATTACTGACAAGGGACATCGCAGATACGTTATAAAAACCGGGATTACTTATTCTGCATGTACTAGGTATGCACCATTGTCGTGATTGTTTGAACTCGGTACTGACCGAGCACATTAGTTTGAAAATGAACTATATGTTTGCAGTCTAATAAACAGTAAGTCTGCCCATCGTTATTAACGAGCTTACGCTGATGTAGGATACGACTAGAAGAATTTTTGAGCGGTGCCACGCTGCCAGTCTCGAAGACTAGGGAAAAATCACGGCAAATTTACAGGGCTGTCGATAAAGCACGTCAGTTTTGCGAACCTTACAAAAAGGTTTTGCTGGGTGCGGGGTTCCTGTCGGCATTGTTATTCTGCCATGGAAGCTAAGACTGTACAAAGCTCTAAACAAGACCATTAGAGGGGGTTATAGGCGCAAGCCTCGCGGTTGTTGCACTCTCAGTAAGCTCGTTCTTGTGCCTTGACGTTCACGCTAACAAGGTCTGATAAACTTAAATAGAGTGTATTCATATATGTACAGAGAATACAGAGTGAAGGAACTAGCATCGGGCATGCGTGCACTGAAGGACATGCGCGGACCAGAGTGAGGTGGACGAGGGGAAGAGGAGCGCGGAAAGAGATGCCCGAAGACGTGTACATGGGAGGGAGGCATGCGGAGATGCACGCGGGAGAGAGACATGTCCGAAAGCGCGCGTGGGAAGGGAGTGGACATAGCAGAGGGTGGTTGTGGGATGGCCTGGTTGTGACTGAAGGAAGAAAAGGGAAGATGGCGTGGCGAGGACGGAGGTGGTAATTTGAGGAAAGAAGCACAACGAGACGATGCGAGCAAGGTCCTATGTGCCCCACTATCACAGTACAAAAAGCGATGCCATTGAACCCTTCAGCGCAGCGAGAAAGAGAAGTCAGCGAGCCCGAGTTGGCAGAGGGCTGGTCCATGTGATGATGTGATGGTTGTATTCCTATGTTGATCCAAAGGGGGTTGAGAGTGAGATTCTTTGTAGTGGGGGCATCGAGCACCAGTCTTGCGATGATGATTGAGGATCAAAAAAGCCCCAGCACAGCCATATCATACACGAAAAGAAGTACCAGAATTCCGTCCTGGAAACTGAGTCCTGGAAAGGCGGGTGGTCTGTAATTGGACCAACCCTTACGCGTCTCTTACCACACCCACGATGTCTGCTGTTTTTCCACGTATCTGCTTCGCTTGGTATCGTGATGCCTGATACATCCTGCGCTGATCTTCGTGCATCTCTGAGTCGATTATTCATACTTCAGCTCAGCTGTTCTGCACAGGCAAGGAGCTGTGTATATCCCTACATGCTGTCTTGTCAATCATCGATTCATCCGTCGAAGCTAGATTCTTCTTTCGTCGAGCTTTTCCAACCCAATAATTTCTAAGCTTTTCAAGGCACGAACATCCTGCTCGCGCTTCTCGACAGATATATCTTTCCTAGGCCCGTCACGCGATCCACAGCAAGATGACGGCACTGCTGTATAGTCTTGATAGACGCCAAGATATAAATTAGGACCGGGGCTGTACATACGCATCGCCCTTTCTTCCTTCCCACTACCACCACCACAGATATGCCTCGCATTTTCAACATCGACCAATTGATTCAGGGAGCCAAGCTTGCTGCTGCTGCAGGCGAGATGGTTCCATTCCCGTATGTCAAAGGTGCTGCGCAATGCGCAGTGATTATTCTGGAGGCAATTGAGGTACGTGCCGTCGATCGCTGCTGTACCTCGTGCCATTGAAAAAGAGTTTTAGAAAGCTGGAAAGAATGACAACGACCTTCAGGAACTGGCGGAAGATATCGGGGCGACTATGTGCATCGTTAAAGAAACCATCGAGGCACACGGGGTTGCAAGTGCGACGCATTTTCATGATGTGTGCGCGGAATTCCAGACGTGAGCAAATATGTGCCCACCATCTAGCCTCCATTGAGGACATTCCTTGCAGATATCTCGAGAATTTACTTTCGAAGCTTAACACCACACAACATAACCTGGAGGGAAGACGGTTTAAACGCTTCCTCAAAGCCCTGAAGGCAAAGAGCGTTTCAGATACTATCGATGGGTACAAGCAACGGATGAACAAGATCAAGTCGGATTACATTGTAAGCACTGGCCCTGGTGCCCATAGATACACATCTGACTCACCAGTTCTCTAAAGGTTTCCGGTATTACTAACTTGCAGTTAGGGATGCCTGAGGTGCGAGATGATTTGAGCACCAGAATCACTGAGGCTACGGAGACGTCACGTTTACGGATCACATCCACCATTGAATCTCGATCTGATCACATCGTAGGTGAGATACAGAATCTGCGAGCCATTCAAAGTGAGCAGATGTCTCAGATCTGTATGAAACTTCAGGATAGGAATGGATATTATAAAGGAGAGGTATGCTGTCATTGTATTCTACTTGGAAGACAAATAACATAACCTATTGGAAGGTCCGAGATCTTGCTCCAGGGGATATTAACCTCATCAAGTTGTTTTGTCCATGGTGTCATGCTGTCCATTGCCAGGACATGCGTCATTGCCAGGACATGCGTCATTGCTGGGCAGCTAGTCATTACCAGTCCATTCATGATCACCAGGATGGCCACTGCGAAGTCAAGAACAGTAATAAAATTAAGTTAATTCGCATATACCAGCCATCAACTGATAACAGCAGAGACATAATACAAGTAAGTGCCCCATATCATGCCATAGTGGTAATGCCTAGTAATGACTTGTATTCTAGAAACTTGATCATGATATTAATCTCTTCATCAAACCCAAGTTTGCTTTCTGTATCTGTCTAGTTGACTAAACACTGACCTTTTGACTGTCTATGCAGGCATCCAAATATTGCCCAAGTCTTTGGTGTATGTAGGTCACTAAATCTTCCAGCAATTATATTCCATGGTGAGTGTCCTGGTCATTCCTGTCTTTAATCTGCCACAGCTCGCTCATGTGGGTAGGTGCAATGCGAGTCTCTGTCTATGAATATTTGAGAAGTATGATATCTGCAAAGGATATCATACCATTCTATGTTGAATTTGTAAAGTGTCTTCTTTACCTATGTTCAGAGTGGTGTGACTAACCTCCTATCATAAATAGCTTCATGATATGGAGGTATACCATACATCTCTGTGGATACCTGAATACTCATTCTTTAAGTCACTCTCAGATCATTTGAAAAGGTACTATCCATCTTGCAAACCAGAAAGCAAAGCAGATGTAAGAGATTCTGTTAATGCACCTTCTGTATACTAATCACTCTTAGGAAACTGACACCTACATCAATGAACATGGAAAACTTGTTATTGCAACAATATCTGAAAGCTACTTCCTAGGATTTCCAATCAGCTCCTCAATTGATTATGTGGCACTTCGCTATCAAATCTTTGTTACCATTGGTTATTGTATAAGGGCCTACTCATCATTACAGAAGAGGGATATATTGCCTCTCTATCAGATTCTCTGGGACTATGCTTTCCAATCTCAGATCATTTATCCAAGTCAGGAATGTCAACCTTATGCACCAGGTAGTATATTAGCCTTGCATGGACAGACTTTGGTTGGGAGAATCCAGAGTAGATTGGATGAATGGGTCATAGAGTGGTGGCCTTCTTATGAGTGCACTGTGGAGAGATTTAGTTTATCATTGAAGGACAGGTTTGTCACCTTATTGACCATATTTGGCCTGCTAATGGTTAACTGTCAGTGAATCAATCACTGTGGATCCTTTTACTCCTCTGAAGGAAGAAAACACTATTCCTTTATTATATCCTGGGACAAAGTCATATCATATTACAGTCTACCCACATTCAAGCCTTGAGATCTCATATTCATGGATTGCACAGGCTTCCTACCTTCACTCCAGATATTGTGTAGATGATGATGAGGAGGACCTAGATCTGATAAGTGAGCATCTTGATTTATGTTGGCTGTGAAACAGCAATCAGCTAATGTACATGCCTAGATGGAGCCTTTTGCATTAGCCTCATTCCAGAGGATAAGCATAACTGTTGCTTTTGTCTTAGTAATACATTTATGGCAGAAGAGCCACATACACTCTCATTATTAATAAGGCCTCCCATCATCAATAATCAGACCAACAAAATATCCTGGCCTGTCCTCTCTTGGCTCTATGACACAGATTTGGAAATTTCACAAAAGGAAGCAGAGGAACAGTTTAATTTCAAGGCTGAATTTATCTATCATACACAACAGTTGAGTGCATCAGTGCTAACAGCTATACCAGAGTTGAATGCAGAGTATGGATTCAATCCTGCATGTAGAGGTAGAGATATATGTGAGCATTATGGACTGCCATTTATGGAGATCATTGACATGTCTTCACCTGTGGAAGGTGAGTAGATTTAAGTGTAATGATTGTTGCCATTCACTGATGAATGTGCACTGCAACAGAATTGATGACAAGTGATGTTGTATCTGATGCTTTTGCACCTGTGTCAATCATTTCAGATGGCACATATCAGATCTTGCATGAAGAGGCCAGTTCTCCACAGGGAAATGATGTAGATGCAGCCATGGGGACAGTCAAGGAAGTGCATGTTGATGAAGCACTGACCAAGGTGGAAATCACTACTGTCTTGCAGCAGGACAGGCAATACAGCTGCTCAGAGTTATTCATCATGATCTTAGTAACTGCTATCAGCACTCTTCTGCTGTCCTTCATTGTTCAGGCTTACTTACAATAGATGTGTATATATAATACCTAGATACTTTGTTCTTACTGTTGATAATGAGTACTACTTGTTGACTCTATTTGTTAGCCATCAAATCATCAAACAATGTCAAATAAGGAGTTGCCACTTGCACTTTGGTGGGTCAACTACAATGTAGGCAATGTCAGGTTTAATGAGCAGGTAACTGATTTAGATAGTCACAGAGTGAGGAGCTATGAGTTGGGTAGATTAAACCTTAGCCAAAGCTGGGGTTTAGGCCAGCTGAGGCTCTACTTAAATACACTTTGAGTATGCTAATAATAGTACACTACTGGACCATAACCATGCAGTAAACAATGAGAATTGTGTGGAGTCTGTATGTCGCAGTGACAACGTGTAGGTCAAGTGTTGACAATGTGTGAACTGTCCTAGCACTTAGATATACTGATAAGATAAAGATAAGTGCTGAAGGATAAGATATGAAAAAGAAAAGACAAATCATAACATTACCCCCTTCTTAAGACTCATTCATCCTGAATGATCCTGTGGACTTGTTGAAGATACTATATGTCACTCTCATCCTCTGTTTCCACTGGTAAGTTTGTGAATTTCTCAGAGTTAGGAGTTTCTAAGGCTCGGGAGCAATATGAGGACTCATAATTGTCACTCTTGGTTGGAGCCCATTTTTTAAGCCATTCATCCAGCTCTCACAGCTCCTTGGTGTTGAGTTTGTACTTGATTACCTGGAAGTATGGTTTTCCATCTGAGGCTGGTGCATTTATGACAGGAGCGAGACGTTCAGGATGTGAGCAGAAGGAGGACTTGAAAAAGTTTGATGGTGGGTAAATTGTTCCTTGGTCTGAGTCAAAAGAGGTAATGATATCCCATGGCAGTTCTTGAAAACCATTGAGCACATTATATGGATTTGGGATCTGTGGGTCAGGTTCTCCCTTTCTGGACTTGAGTACTTGGATATGGGCTTCGTATTCATTGACTAAACTCTTTGTGTTTCCTAGATTCACCTGTGTTACCCAGGAGTTTTCCTTGGTAGGGTACCCCTTCCATTTGATCAAGTAGTCTGTGATGGTCTTTTGGTTTCATCCTCTTCCCACTTTTTGATCTCTTTCTCCCACTATTTCCTCCACTTCATATTCTTCTTTATTGTCGATAAGCTCTGGAGGTGGTCTTTCTGGTTGGGATTGATTAGGATAAGCCAGGGGCATGTATGGCATCAATAGGGATTCATTGAAACAACTGTGGATCTTCCATCCCTTCAGTAGTTTTAGCTCATAGGATGATGTGCCCTTCTTTGCAATGATCTCAAAGGGGCTGACTCATTTATTGTCAAGCTTTTTCTTAGGTCATGGAAGTGAAAGGTGGGTTGTCTTGAGCCACACTTTGTCTCTGGGCTGATACTCCACTGCTTTTCCCTTGTGTTTGTCATAGGCCTTTTTCATCTTTTCCACTGCTTTCTCTAGTGCTCTCGCTGTCTGTTTATGGGTCTCCTGCATGTCGGTTACAAACTTCTCCACTGCTGGCACTTCGCTAACAATCTGGTTTTTGACCATGGTTTGTCTGTCTCTCCCAAAGTTTACCTTGTATGATGAATACCCCATGGTGGAGTGTTTTTGATTGTTATGCATAAATGCTGCCAGAGGCAACCACTCCACCCAGTCATCTTGTTGATAGTTCACAAACATCCTGAAGTATTTGTTGATTTGTTGATTGGCTTGCTCTGTCTGTCCATTGGTTTGTGGGTGATAGGCCATAGAGGGGTTTCCTTGGATATTCACCATAGCATATAGGTCTTTCATGAACTTGGATATGGATACTGTTCCTCGGTCTGAGATGATTTTTGAGGGGAGTACTCCGTATTTGACATATACTTTGTTTCATAGAATCTTGGCTCATCCTAGGGAGGATAGCTCTTTTGTACAGGGGACTGGGATGATTGCTTTTGACAATTGGTCCACTATGACTAGTATTGTGTTGCACCCTTGTGAGTCTGGGAGTCTGGTAATCATGTCTACTGTGATGTGATCCCAAGGTTTGGTTGGGATTTCATTGGGGTGTAGTGGTGCCTTCTTTTGCTGTGTATTGTTCTTTGTGCATTGACAAGTTTTGCACCCTTTGATGTACTTTTCCACTTCTCTCTTCATCTTTGGCCACCAGTAATCATGGAGAACTAACTCCTTCATCTTCTCGATTCCTGGGTGTCCTGCTGTTACATGATCATGTTTCTGTGTGATAATCTCACCTTGCAACTCTCAATTCCTTGGAACATAGATGTGTCCATCATAATACAGCAGGTCGTTATTTTTGGTGACTCCTTTCTCATGGTTAAGGGATGTGGCTATCTCTTGATCCCATTGTCCAGGATTGCAAGTTGCTTGGCGAATCTTTGCGTGTATCTTCTCCTTGATGGGCATGATCAGTGCCCTAAATACCTCCAGTTTTAACAGGACTATGTCTCTGTTATCCTCCTTTCCTTGTTCATGATCCACTCTCCTGCTTAGCAAATCTGCCTTGCAATTGGAAGTGCCTGGCTTGTGATGCAGCATGAACTGATACTCTGCTAGTTCCGTTACCCATCGCACTTGTCTGTGATTGAGCTTCTGGGGTTTATGGAAATATTGAAGGTTCAAATGATCCATCCAGATCTCAAAATCTTGTTGTGTGCCCATCAAGTAGTGTCACCAGTCTTCTAGTGCAATCATTATTGCCAAGAGCTCTTTGTCATAAGTAAATCTCATAGTTATGTTCTGTAGTGGATAGGGATTTGGACATGAACACTACTGGCCTCCACTTCCCTTCTTGTTCTTGGGATAATACCACCCCTATGGCTCCTTCACTTGCATCTACCTCTACTTGAAATTTTCCTTCATCATTGGATATGGCAAGTATCACACCTTCCTCAACTTGCTTCTTTATTGCTGTGAAGGTTTCCTGTTGTGCCTTTCCCCACTTCCATTCTACTTTTCCAGTTAACATCATCAGCGGTTTGACTATCTTGCTGTAGTGCCATATAAACCATCGATAAAAGTTGGCAAACTCTAAGAAAGATTGTAAATCTTTTTTCTTAGATGGGGTCAGCCAATCTAAGAGTCCTGCAATTTTAACAGGGTCCATTTTGATTGATCCCTCGCTTATGATGACTCTTAGGTATTCTGTCTCTTCCACCTCGAATTTGCACTTTTCTGCTTTCAGAAACAGTTTGTTCTTTTGCGACCTTCATAGTACTTTCTTTACTAAGCAGCAATATTCTGTTTTGTCCTTGGTAGCTATTAGGATATCATTCAAGTACACTGTTGATGAGCCTCAAGGCTCTGTACACTCAGAATTTGCAGATTTTAGCATTATAATAAATGCCTTGTCCACTTAGCAGACTCTCACTAAGTCAATAATTGCAGTTGCAGCAATACCCACTTTTACTGCCAAATATCCTTCCCAACTCGTATTCCACATCAATATGCGCCACTTCATTATTGCCACCAGGCACCTGATTGCAGATCTCATGGAATTAGGACCATCATTGATCACTCAGCACAGCCATTGCTGACATCAGCATCAAGCATCACTTAATAGAATGCCACCACCAAAGTACCTATTCCACAGCAAAAGACTTAATACCATGACCTTTCCACCAGTTTTACTAAGGCTGTTACAACACCAAGACAATGCCACATGCATCTACTTCAGTGTACTACCTTCAGTGTACTTTGCTGCAGCAACACAGCAGCCCAAGAGTCCGTATGTCAGCAGAATTCTTTCTGATCACTAAGTCTATATGTGGTAAAACCATGTGGGTGCTGTTACTTTAGAACTCTGGGAGCATGTGTTTTGTATCATTTCTTACCAATCTATGTACTAAGGACTTACTAAGGACTTGTTTCAAGTATTCTAAAATTATTACCGGACTTGCAGTATAAAAGCTAGTGTAGTAGTAGTTGCTAGAGACAAGTTACTGGACACACTAGTTATCACACATGTTATCAACCACCATCACTGCTTGTACTCACTAGGAGACAGACAATAACAGCATAGTCACTCTGAGTCATACTCTCTGTCATGGCTTTTCTTCTAATGGTATTGGTGTATGCTCATATTGTGCCAATACACAGAATTTGGTGTCCACAACTCACTTTTATCTTTTATTCTGCCAGCATCATTTCACTTTCACCAGCCAGCATCGTTTTACCAGCTTTCACTTTCTACATTGCCATTGTTTCACCCCAGTTCAGCTCAGTACAGTTATGTCCCCATGTGGACACAGATTAGGATCGTCAGTCACAGCATTTGGTATCTTGCCATCAGTTTCAGTATAAGATCACCAGTCTTGGTATTTGTTATCTTGCTGTCAGTTTCAGAATAGGATAGTCTCCATGTAGATTCAGGATCAGTATAAGTTTCGTTTTGCTGTCATTAACCTCAGTATAGTTTCAGTATCAGCCTCACCCAGTCTCAGTCATCATTTGCCATGCTAGTCTCTCATCATATTTCTGCCAGCCAGTCTCTCTTCGCTTTACCACCAGTTTCTTGAGTACAGTCTTTGTCCCTTGCCGTCATGGTATTTGTTATCTTGCCAAATGGTATTTCTCTTTGATGGCATTTCCATTAATTCTGCCAATTCCACCCATGGCTTTTACTAGTTAATTGCCATCACTTTGTTAACGGCTTGCCGGTATTCCCAGTTAGACTGGATTCCATTCCTTCTCATCTATCGAGACCTTTCCCAGCTTACAGCCAACATTTTCTAGTACTCGATCGTTAAGGGTACTACTTCGCTAACTGAAAAGTTGCAGTGTATACTTGCATTCTTGAGGAATTCATCGCATGGAGGTGCACCGAAACACTCGCACAACAACAAAGGCTTTATTGCTGCTACATGCCATTTGCCATGAACTCCTCTAGAGTTTTGGTTTTTGCCATTGCCATGGAAGTTTAGGCTCATCAGTGGGCAGCAAGTAAGGCTCAGGTGACTCAGTCCCATTGGGATTGGAACTCCTTTCAGCAGATCACGCAGTTGGAATGCCTGCCTCTGTGATTCCATAATTCTTGGGTCCATCTCCCCTGATGATGTGC